GAAAAAAAATATGCTACACAGGCTAGACAGGTTTCATCACCAATGGTCTTATTTTCACAGACATCATGTTTGCCACTGCAAACATCCTTTTAAAATGTGAGCACAACCTCTTAGCTAATTCTACCCACGTGAAGACTTATTGTTCTTTCATATGGGTTCTGTCTAGGTCCCCAAATCCAATTTCTGTAAGGAGGTAGAGACCCAGGAAAAAAATAGTCAGTGTGTTGGTCTAAACATACATTCATCCTGGATCTTCATATGCATAAAGTTGGCCAAAAGGTTGGGGAGTTATTGATGTACTATTTTCAGAGTCGCACCCTAAAAAGGGTAGTTTTAGTTTCTAGGTAACAAATATTTTAATTGAACGTGCCATTTCATACTTGGGGCTATAAACACTGAAATAAATGCATTTCAGTGGGAGAGTTAAACATGTGTTTAACTGTCTCCCATAAAAAATCAATGGGGACTTTAAAATGTTCGATGTTAACACATAGCTGTAATGAATAGCAGCACTGGGTATTGATCAGTGTTCAGTAAGACACAATAAGCACCTATCCCTAAAACCTAAAATGTGACTGAATCAGTGGGGAAGACCCTTTCATTTTGAAAAGTAAAAAATACATAAATATCAAAATAATCCTCTCTCAACTACTGGCAGTATTTTCCAAGCATACGTTTCAGCTAATATTGTAAACACACTTTCTGTGTCATAAACGTTATTAAGACACTGAGAGGAGCAGCTAAATCAAAAGAAGAACAATCTAAAGTCACACTTAGATGAAGTTAAGAGCTGCCTATTGGGGTCCAAAGGATTCCCACACCATGCCAGTACTGGTTAAAGTGAAAGAAGATGCTGAAGGCTGATAATTCAGCAACTAGATCTTGCACTTCCTGAAGACGATAATGGGACTGAAGAGCCTAACATGCTGGGAGAAGAAAAAGTACAAATGATTCAGCACTTTCACCTCCTTGATCAATACCAACTAGGCTGACTCAAATTGCCTATGCAAAGCTCACTTCTTTTAAAATATGTCCACAACTCTGATCCTAACATCTCATGATGAACATGGCTTTTAATATACAGCATATATTTGCCTCACCCCACCCCAGAAAATATTGTTGTAGCTGCCACACCAGAGCAAATCCCTGTATTCTAGCATCCTATTCCTATCAGAAATGAGTACCAGATGCTCCAGAAAGATGTTCTGCCCTCCCATTTTTAAAGCCAACTGACAGGCAAAGGGACAGGTTTCCATAAATTCCCAGGGGCCCCTTTAGGTCCGGAATTATGGGGCTTGAGGTTCTTGCTTGTTTTCCAACTGTGCAGGCAAGATCTCTCAAGCAACCAGCACATATACACGTCACTGCTATCTGTACCACACCTGAGCCTGTAGATACATAGGCAAAATTGAAAAGAAAGAAATTGCATCAAACACTGGCCTTGATGCTTCTGAGTAGGTAGGAAAGGGGGGGTGCTAGTTCAGAGTTCTAGACTGAGCATCTATAAGCTGTCATGTATCCAACACATTTTAGTCAGTTCTCCTTTTTTGTAGCTTTAAATCAAAGTGAACCGAAAGACCCGAGACAGAACAAAAAGAGGAAGAATGGCCATTCAATGTATCTGCAGCTTTGTCCTGAAAGGGAGACATCTGCATCTGTATTCCAAGGGTCTTCCTACCTGGAAAATTCACAGCATCAAGGCCTACTGAGCATCAGACCACAATTCTTCATATATGACAGGGAGCTGAATTGCACAGAGCTTCCTCACGTCTGAGGGTTTGGGGATGTCTCTTCCCAGCCTCCTTGCCAGCAATAAATAAATAAATCAGCCAGAAATGTCAAATATCTCCCCCACCCAATAGAAACCAGGCCAAATTTCAAGAGGCTGGGTCACATCATTCTCTCCTTTACCCGCAATAGCAGGATACTGGAGCTTGTAGCTGCCTCAAGAGTATACCCCCCCCCTCCAAAGCAACTCCAGATGCCCTGCTGAGGGGCAAGGGGGCTCATGAGGAGCAGAAACTGCTTGGCAAAGTGCACAGCCAATGCATGACAGGCAAGACGCGGGTCTGCAGTAAGACCAGCAGCGGAGGCCAAGAAGAGCCTTTGGGGTCTGCAGTGGGGCGAGGTGTGTGTTGGGGGGGGGATGAGCTGGTGGAGCCAGGACAGGAGATCAGGACGTTTGGTAGGGCAAAGGTGGAAGCTGCATCCCTTTCCTGGCTCTCTCCCTGCTTGCTTAGCTGCTGCATGACCGGAGCCGCCACCTCCTGATGCCCTAAGCTGGGGATGCGAAAGATGCCTCCATCGATCTCCCCGCCTGGGGCCGCAGCTGCCCGATGCAGCCACCTCCGTGGAGAAAGCGCGGCCGCCTTACCTGGCCAGCCGCCGCCGCCGCCCGGGCTGAGTCCCCTGCCTGTTTCCCTGCCGGCAAGGCCAGGCTCACAGCTGCCTCATCGCCGCCCAGATACACTTCGCTGCTGCTCCGCACCCGCCGCCGGGCTACAAGACCTCTCCGCCGGTGCCCCCGCCGCCGCCGCCTCCTCCCCGCACAGCTCCCATCCTTCTGCAGCGCCTTCTCGCTCAGACTCCCGCATTAGGGCAGAGACCATCGGGCGCGCGGCCGGGGGACCACGTGCGCGCCCCCGGGAGGAGCGGTGGCGGGAGTGCGCGCCAGGGCCCAGGAGCGCGCCTCCTCCTCGTTGTCTGCCGCCGCCGCCGCCGCTGCTTCCACCTCCTGCAAACAGTGAAAGCAGGCAGGCGACGCGCCACGCGGAGATTCCCCTTACTGGTCCCTCTCTCTCTCTCTTTCTTCCTCCTCCAGCAATTAAAGGAGTGGCGTGTCGGTCGATAACAGGCGCGAGGCAGGGAGGAGGCGGGTGCTAATTAAGAGGGAGGAGGTGATGGATTACCCGACGGAGGAGGCAAGGGGAGAAAGTGAGAGAAGTCATTAGCCAGGGGTCTTGAGTGGGGACGATGGGTTAATAGAGGAATAGGGAAGGAGGAATGATCAAAAGCAAATGGCACCAGGTAAAGCCTCTAATAAATAATGTCGCCTCTTAGTTGCAGCAGGGGAAGCCGACAAACAGCCTTGGGACACCTGAAAGGCATTTTTATTCTAGCATATGCTTTCCTGGACTGAGCCACTCAGCTGATGCCATAATGAGATGCAGTAGTCTTTGAGGTACCCCAGATTCTGTGTTGTAATAAAGAAGGAGTAACTAATGTAAAGCAGGGGAGAATTACATGTGGGACTGGCACAAAAAGCAAGTATTTTCCAAAGGTGGGGTTATGTTACTTGGATGCCACAAAGGCAACGAAGAGTTTTGTGGCAGCTTAAATTTATTATAGTGTAATTTTTCATGGACGGAAAGAAAGCTTGTCGGGTAGCGTGTTGAATGGGGGGGACAATGGTCGAATTCACTTTCCACCATCATTGTCTGATAATGCACATACAGTGGTGCCCCGCAAGACGAATGCCTCGCAAGATGAAAAACTCGCTAGACGAAAGAGTTTTCCGTTTTTTGAGTCGTTCCGCAAGACGAATTTCCCTATGGGCTTGCTTCGCAAGACGAAACGTCTTGCGAGTTCTTGCGAGTTTGTTTCCTTTTTCTTAAAGCCGCTAAGCCGTTAATAGCCGCTAAGCCGCTAATAGCCGTGCTTTGCAAGACGAAAAAAACGCAAGATGAAGAGACTCGCGGAACGGATTAATTTCGTCTTGCGAGGCACCACTGTACACCTGTGACATTACAAGTACCTCTAAGCCTCTTTTGCACTATTCGAAGGGTTGTTGATGCAGGATAGAAAGTGGACATTAATAGCTGCTTTTAAGAGAATGGACACTCCAGCTCATAGAAGCTTTACCATTGAATAACAGATGTGGAAAGTGGTGGGAAGGGGCAGGAGGAACCAACAATGTGAACATCATTTATTGTATAGAAAGGGTGGTGGACATGTAAAAAGGTAAAAGAATATTGGGAAATTATTTATAATGAGTTGGAAAAAATGTTTAAAATTACCTTCCCCAAAAGACCAGAGTCCTTTTTATTGGGGATAACCCAAACAGAAATTCCTAGGTGCCAGAAAGGCTTATTTATTTATGCAGCAACAGTGGCCTGTGTTTTGTTAGCCCAAAAATGGAAAATGAGTGAGAGACTAAGAGGATTGGCAACTTAAGATGTTAGAATATGCAGAACTTGCAGGTTTAACACATAGAATAAGAGAGCCAGAAGAACATGTATTTAAAGAAGAGTGGAAACATTTATTGAATGTATGGGAAATAATAGGACACAACTGAAAACGCTGGCAGCATTAAGATAAATTTAAAAGTGTAATTAATGTTTGAATGGTGTAAAAATGGAAAACTGACTTGAATGATTATAGTAAAATATGCAGGAATGGAAGATAAATAAAAAGAACCATGGAAAGAGAAGGGAAGTCACTGGATATCAGTAAGTTTGTAAAATGTTTAATTGAAAAATAATGTAAAAGTTATACATGTAAAACAATGTTGACATCACTTACGAATATTGGGGTTGCTTGCTGCTCCGTATTTCAAGCTGCAGCTCCACAAAATGAGCTCTTCCCACTTTTCCTCCATGTGTTTGTATCAAATTGGTACATTTCATTGATCATTTTGACTTGCAATCCAAATTGGCAGAGCAATCCAAACCCTCCATTGTGTTGGGTTGAGTGGGTATGGATTGAGCTGAGGTGTTCCTCTGCCCAGTTTTATGGGTCTCTACCACCCTCCCTCTGCAGAGTAACACCAGCAACACTCTGCTGGCATAGACCTCCCACTTCTACCTGTCAAGCAGATGGGTGGAAATGGTGGTGGTTAGTCCCCTGCTGGCAGTAGCCAGTAGAAAGGCTCTAGGCTGGTACAGTAATCTGCCTGGAAAATAATGTGCAGTCTGTGACCCGAAATACTGCCACACTAATCACTCCTGGAAACAGGCTGTCCTTGGAATTATAGTAGTTTAAATAGAGATGAGTCAAACTTGCCCAGAAATGCCACTAGAGAGACATGAAAAGGCTACCATATGGGGAATTAGGTCTCGTGGTGATAAAGAATGACCTGCGGACCATCCGTTAAGTGTCCAAGAACTTGTGAGGCAAAAGTATTTTTTTAAGTAGTACTCACGTTATATGTGATGCTAACACACCCTCTTTCAGGAACACAAAAGGAGAAGGTCTGGAGGTGCCTCAAACAGTAGTCCATCTGTAGCTGTGACATCTGAATAACTGTGACATCAAATGAAAAAAATGGCAGAATAAAGTGCAGATTTTTGAAATGTGGAAGAATGTAAAACCAATTTAAGAAAGCTTTCAGACTGAGCATTGTGGATACTAAATAATAGAAATGCTCTTGTATGTGAGATATTTTTTAAACACTTCCAGTATTCTGAGTGTGATGGTGTATTATTTAAAGAATATGAGTAGGTGGGGTAAATCCCAACTAAGGTACCAGGAAAAGGAGGATAAACCTTGCTACTGCTTGATGGTTTTCCTGCTTTGTGATGTTTATGATGAATTATTTTGACAATGTAATGTTCTCTTTAATGTACCATTATTTCATTTTAATATGAACGCATCACTGCCCTGGGACCTTCCAGTGTAATGTTGATCACAGTAGTTCTAAATAAATAAATGAAAGTTATAAATAAACATCGAAAAAAGGCTTTGTAAGAGTTCAATATTGCAGAATGTTTGAAACCTGTTCTTAGGATGATCTGGTCTAAAAGTATCACCAAAGGTACTTTTTCTGTGCACAAAAACATGCCCTTGTATGGTGAAATCTGAGACTCCGCATGTCCTCAATTATTATCCAAAAGGCATTCAAACACAGCTCCTGTTATATGGGAATATATTCAAGAGAATATTCACCATGCAGAAATTTTAGGAAAAACAATGAATTTGTCGCATCAAATTAAGTACCAAATTGAGTGAGATTCAGTTAAGGAAATTAATCAATTAATGAAAGGAAAAGTTGACTTTTAAAAGAAAATTCAAAAAGGAGTCAGAGATGGAAAAGGTGGTTAATAAACCCATTTGTATTCCAATAGCTCCTAGCCTCCTACATAAAACAGCATACATACTTACGATTCAGAATTACAGATCAGGCTATAATCTAGTCAAGTAAAAGAAGATGGATTTAGTTCCATTGATCTCAGTGGGACTAAATCATCTTAAATTCAAGTACTTCACTGTATCTTAGATGAAGTTTGCCAGAAAATATTTTGAAAATTACATATAGGAGCCTCAGGGAGCAATTCTGAGCAGAATCACAGGGATAAGCAATTTTGGATTCAGTGAATCTCTGGCTCAGCTGGCTGGTTATCAGCTCAGCTGAGCTACACCACCATAACTACCCCATCCCAGCTCAGCTGGGGTACACACATGCTGAGTGTGTGTGTAGCAACTTCCTGTGCTTAGGATTTTTGTCAATCATCAGCTGCTTGGTCTCAGATAAATTTATTTATAAGCAAGTTCCACTATGTTCAATGGACTTTACTTTCTAGTAAAGCATTAAGGACTGTAGTCTCAGCAGTCTAATGTTTTGGATTCATTCAAGCTAAGTGTTATGTACTGAAGTTCTCACCCTGGGCCAGCAGGGCGATACTGTAGATAGTTATGCAAATGAAGGATCGAAAAGTGACGTTCAGTGATTGGATAGTTTTGTATGCAAATGAAGGATCGAAAAGTGACGTTCAGTGATTGGATAGTTTTAGAACGTTGCAACAGTTACAATTGTTCTGTAGCTCTATATAAGCAGGCTGACTGAGCTCCTCAGTTAGTTCTGTTCCAGCTTACAAAATAAAGAGCTGCTTTGGAGAAATCGCTGTGTTGTCTGCTATGTCAACCCACAACTTAACACTAAGGATGTGTTTAGTTACCTTCCCAAATATTTATTGTTTACAGCTACACAGCACCAGTCTGCAAAGCAAACTAAGGGATTGGTTTTATCAAACCCTCACAACATATTAACAAGCCTACAACCCATTGTTATTGCTTGCTATATATCAAATAATGTTCATAAATATGGGATATGATTCTAAGGTTGGCTTGGAAATTTTGAGTCAACTAATATAATAATTTACATGGTTTTCTTCATGACTGCCCAGATGTATTGGACTTCATAAATCCTGTTAGTGAGCAGATTTTAGTAGAGAACCAAATTATTTGAAGACTGCAACTGCTTGTACTATATTTGACAAGGCAAGTACAGTGTGGTTTTGTGTGTGTGTCCCTTTCAACTATGTCCCATCTGTGACCTTTCTTTTACAACGAAAGCCAAAACTCAACTGAAAGAAAAGCACACTTAAGCTTTCTAATTTCATTGGTCTTAAGTCCATCACTGGATTGTCGCCAAGGTGCTTGGGCCAAGATTTTTGTTACAGCAGAAATTCAACAACTGTCAAATGAATTCTACAGCTGTAGTGGTTGCTGGGAAATAAGAAGCAAAGAAATCAACTGAATTACTTAATAAACATTCCATTTCATATATCATATCTTCAAATATCTTATCAACTTCCCAGAGATACAAATAATTCTCCCCCCCTCCCTGGATACTTGACTGGTGAGTGCTGCAAAAACAATAAAGGGCCATCAACATGATATTCTCTAGATGTTGTTGTTGTTGTTTTGTAAACCAACTGCCTTTAGTTTATTTTATTTTTTAATGATATTTATTGAAAAATTTTAAAATTACAGAAAAAAACACAGCAGAAAAAGAAAAAAGAGAAAACAAAGAGAAAACAAACCACATCAAACAATGCAGATTCAAAAAACAAAAATATACCACAAACAGATAAAAACAAATCCATCATTCTCGAATCCTCAACTTTCATTACCTTCTTTCTTTGACCTCCTCCTCCTCCCTTTTTTTGTATCCTAGTTATTAATTATCGCAGCAAATCCTTTCCATATTTCATAATATTCTGTCATTACATTACCTTAATCTATTTTCATCTTATCTTATAGAAAACCTTAAAACTTAAAACTTAAATCTTATTTTTACCAACTTCTCATAACCATAATATTCTTACCTAATTCTTTAAACATTTTTGCTAGAGCCAAGTAATTTCGTTCCAACATTTTTCTAACATTCATCAATTTTATAAAACAATCCTAATAATAATAAAAAGAAATAAAAACAATCCAATCTTCATCCAGCGTCCTTTCCTCCTGGTCCCGGGTTTTGTCAGTCCTTTTTATCCCATTGATCTAGCGCATTAACCTGGTAACCTTATATCCGAGGCCCTTAAGTCTCTTCCATGTCCCTTCCGCGGCTCTTCTTCATATTCTCCTTTCACTCGTGGGAACTCCAGCTTGGTAATGTTTTTGACCCTTTTCAACAAATCAGCCCCTTTTCCAAAGACCAGACTAAACTCCATGTGGTATTTGAAAACATGTTTCAGAATCCCTCCAAAATTAAGAGCCCCCACAGCCCCAAACATCTCACGGCCCATTGCCAGACTTGGAAAGTCCAAACATCCCTGCATAGGGGGGTCTATCCAACCCCCCATTTCCAAACCAGTCCAAACTTTATCTTTCCAAATCTGGCTTTTTCCAAGTTCATTTGTCAAGTCCAAAAGCTCATGTTCCTGCAGGGCCACAGCTCCCTCCATCTCTGGCGCCCAAAATTCAGCAACATCCTCTTCTCTCATCTGTTCTGTCAGGGCACACTCCTGATTTGATTCCTGGGTGGGCTCCATATAGTTTCCCACTGCCTGTTCAAAAATTCTGACCGCATTAGTCATCAAATCCGTCTTCTCATTTAACTGTTCCAGTAGGGCATTTGTTTTACAGAGAGCACACCACAGAGCTTCTGAATACATTGTCCTACAAGGTCACAGGTCTATTCCCACGATTGTAATCTGTAACAGCTGCAAGCTCCTGGAATTAGTTACAGTTTCACAGTCTCCCTCTAGGGGGAAAACTTCTATTTGTTCTTTCTTTTACGTACAAATCTAGCAACAAAGTTTCCTTTTTGAGATATTTTGTCAATATTTGTTCCTTTAAAATGCGAAAGGGAACAGTGGAATCACTATGTTTCTCTTCTTTTAGCTATCTGTCAAAAATGTTTGTCTCTGGTCAATGAGCTTCAAACGTCAGTCCTGACACCCCGCTCCAGGATCAGGACGGTGGAAAGTTACTTTACTTTAAACTCACTTCTGCAGGTTTAAACAGTCCGAATAAGATCCCCCTTCTTCTCCTGCTTCCGAAGGGGGGTTCAACAATTTTAAAATGATGAAAGTTAATCTTTTAGAAGCTATTTTCTGAGCTTTAGTTTACGTTGTCTTTGCTTTATTCTGTCTACAAAGAAACGGAAGGCTGACTTCCTGTTTAGACCTTCCCGTTTCAGTGCCAAATTGAAGTAAATTTTTAAGTCCAATTCCTTTCTGCTCGCAAGTCCTTATTTAAAGTCCAATTGTCCGAAATTTAAGTACTCACGGGTGATTATTTTAGAAGCCAAATTGTCCCAGGAAAAAGGCAGCGCTCTCCAGCAACAGCTATGCGGCTTCGCTCCACGGAAATAGCAGTTGACTCTCAGCACCGCGCCACTTCCCCCTCTTCGCTTCGGAGCCCGATAGTGGGTTCCTTTGTGGGTTGGGGGGGCGCTAAGGGTGCCCGCCGAGTCCCATGGTCACAGGCTTCATCCGCCTGTGATTTTTGAAAGGGTCCCCGCTTCGCCGTAGCGGAAAAGACCCGTTTCGCGCGGAGCTAGACCTTCCAGATCAGAGGGAGTCTGCCATTGCCGATGGCGCCACCCCGGAAGTCGATATTCTCTAGATGTTGTTCAACCACAAGTCCAATCAGCCCCAACCATCATGGCCAAAGGCCAGGGATGATGGGAAATGTCGTCCAACCATCTGGCTTACCTTGATATAATTGATCACTTTGGACCAGTGCTAATAACATTTTGTATCCAATGAGAATGGCTTCTGAGGTTATTCACGTAGTTTCATTTGGTTAAATCCATAGAAAAGTTTTTGTCAATACAGATCTTCAATGTAACAGTCAAAAGACTGACTCTTGACAAGCCAAAGATCCACTTCTAAAACATAAGACAAGCCCACTAGATCATCTAGTCCAGCATCCTGTTTTTACAGCAGCCAAGCAGATGCCTATGGGAAGCCTGTAAACAACATGAGAGCAACAGCAAAAGATGATGTTCAAATGAACATCTCCAGGGATATTTTGACAAAAATGTTAGAACTTGTACTCTCACAAATATATGATAATGAATCCCACAAATTAAAATGTTACAACTAGATGTATATTAGGCGCAGAAGAGGACACTTTCACCAGATAAGGTTTTTATAATGCTCTTGTGGGGAACAAATTAGTCATCTTTTGGTGGAATTTGCTCACCTGGCTTCACTTGTTTGATGAAGAAAATGCTGTCCCTATCCCATAAGAATCACTCTTGTCAGTCACAGGCACATTATTTGTACACTGCTTTTTGTATACAGTATATTCAAAACAGTTTACAACAAACATAGACAAAAGCCGCAAACAAAATATTATAAATACACTAATTAGCTCTTTATAAAAGACAATTTCAAAGAGTTAAAAATTTTACAGTATACATAATTTTCAAAACCATATAAACAGCAAAATACTGAGGATTATATTTTCTCCTCAAGTTTGGGAAAACATTGCCCTCAGCTTGGGGAGAGCCAAATTCAAATCCCCACTTGGCCATGAAACTCACTGGGTCACCTTAGACCGATCGCTCTCTTTCAACCTCGTCTACCTCACTTTGTAGTGAGGATAAAATGGCCATGAGGCAGGGAGAACCCAGAACCCCCTGTGCTTATTGGAAGAAAGGCAGGATAAACTTAATAAATAAAATATCAAAGCAAATCATTCACAGTTCTTTACTAACATAAAGAGTGATACTCTCTGACCTAGGAATCATGCTGGCTTCTACTCCTTAGGAGTCACGGTAAACAAGCTGTCATGTTACCACACTATTCTCTTCACAGTAATAAAAGTGATTTGTTACATACAATATATTTGGAGATCATAATCTGATGTAGTAGGCAGTCATGGGTACAGAGTCTAAATCCATGCCAAGGATGTGGTCATGGCACTATGACCCATAAACTAGTTGCAGATTTCCAGGAATGGAGCCCAACACAAGTTCTGTCATGTTAGCTGCTATTTGACCCTGGCAACAAGGAGAGCCAGGTTTTGGTGTCTAGCTGTTCTCACAAAACAGTCAATCACAAGCCTGGCTGGCTGTTTCAAAATAATGTTTTGGTTTAAATGTGGGCGTTTGTATTGGAGGGGAAACAAAACAATGATACACAGGGCTAAATGACAGCCCCGTAGTCCAAAATCTCTCCCAAATTCTCCACAGTTGCATTAGGGATCCGGCCTTCAAAATGCCCACCTTTTCCTGGAACCGCCTCTAGAAAGTGTTGTCCCTGCAGGATTACTACTAATTTGGTGTATGTAGGCTCTTCTGTCTGAGGGCCAGCCATTTCTGGTGAACCTGGGGGCAATGCTCGTTGGATTTTAGAGAATGAGCTTTTATTTGAGGTATTTTGTGTCCCTAAAATGTTATTGGCAGACACAGAGCTGGACTTCACTTGTGTTCTTGATTAGGCATAATGTTCCAATCTGGGCCTACTAAACTAGTTTTCTCTACCTGTCAAAGATAAGGTGGGGGGGCGGGGATCTTACTGCTGCCCCTTCTTACCATGAGGGTCTGGTTAGGCAGAGGTGGCATTGTGGTGGCCAGGTCTGCAATGGTCGCTTCTGTTTTTTGCTGGGTTGGAGGACATGATTGAGTACAAAGTGAGTGATGCATCTCAATAGACTGCAAGTTAAAATTGTGAGGCAGTGTAAAGTGGTAGCACAAGTATTTGGGAACATTATCCTACTGCTTTTTGCTACCCTTCAGAGTTTTCCCTGGAGTCATCCAGGCCCACTTTTCCTAGCCTAAACTGGAACTAATACATTATCTCTCTCCTCTCCTTGTAAATGCTAGACTCCTTGGGCCTGTCATTTCTTGAAGGGTTACAGAAACACCATGCTCAAAAGAAACAACAAAACCTGAGGCAGTTGAAGCAGAAATAATTCTGGAGTACAGACGGGCAGGCATTCAAGACTCAGGATAAAAACAGGCAAGAAAGAGTCTCAAGAAATACAATAGCAAGGAAAGAATAACCAGGCCGGTAAAGCCAGCAGACCACCACCAAATGCAAGCTTGAATATGAATGTCAGCTGACTTGGGGGGGAAATGATATATCTGTATTATTTTTTGCTTTTGTCCAGTTGCTAGAAACAGAACAATACTGCTTACCCCCTCCCTCCCCATTTTGTTTTTATTTTGAAACAAGACACCTTAGTTGATAAACCTTTGTGCTTGATTCTCCAGCTCTAGACACACCCCAAACTGCTGCGATCTAGACTGAATCTACCCCTGCACTGAAAAGGACACCAACCCAAGGCCCAGGCCTCAGACAGGTACCAGTTTCCTATATAAACAAAAAACAAGGAGCTGACAGTGCTGCTTCTAACTACTAAAAGCATCCTAGATTTCCCAGGATGTTGAAAACAACCCTGTCTCACATACATAGTTTTAATCATATATTCCAGGGACCAGGGCAGTCCTACCGAACATACTACACTGGAATAAGAGATTTTAAAATTGCAGTCTGCTTAGACGCATTCAGTAAGACTGTTTGTTCAAAGGAAACATTTTAATAGGGCATGGCCTAGTGATACTGAAACACAAACAAGAGATAATAGGGTCAACACTAAATATAGTAACTGCTATAGAAACCTATTGCATGTAATAAACACATTTTTAAAAAAGAATATTCCTAATACCTGACTCAAACTGATGAATTTTAAGTCTAAACTGGAAATAAAGGGGGAAAGCCAAACGTGGAATTGGATTTACTGTCATGATGCATTAAGTTAAATAAAGAGCAGAAGGAGCAGTATCTTAAGTATGTGAGTCTTACCCATTTAATCCCCCATCATTGGATTAGAACACTCTACAAATAATAATCCGATAAAAATATGTCTTTATATGAGGGTTTTTATGATACCAAAGTATTAATATTTTCAAAGAAGATGAGGAGGGGGAAAGGCTAATTGGTTTTCGCCTTTCGTGATGTTAACCATCTACATCAGACTGACTTTCTTTGGCCCAAGGACCACATTTACCCTTGGCCAACTCTCCAATGACCACATGGCAGTAGTCAGTGTGTCCAAAAGTGGGTATGGACACCATTTCTCCATAAGCTCTTCACTGTCAAATATGACTTGTTGCATGTTACCTGTCAAATGCTCAATACCATTGTGTACTCTTATTATATATTATTATTTATGGTGTTCATATCCTGCTCTTCTTCTGTAGGAGCCCATTGTCATATACTGCAAAATATCAAATCTTTTTCCAGGTATAAAATATTGAAAACAAATATGATTGAGTGTATAACAGAGATATAAAATACACTCCATGAAAGTTTGGTTAATATTTAACTACACAAAGGATAATTTTGAGAAGAATGTCAAGGAGCAAATATATTTCAGTTCTAGTCTATTGGATCAATAGAAAAGTGAAAGTGATTCTGGGATATGCTATAAATGTTATTTTTTAAAAAGCAGCTGATGAATAAGTAGATATGTTTTAACAGCTATTATAATATTACATCACCAAAAGTCTTGGATAAATTAAATGTTCCTCCCCAAAGAACTCCCCAGGGTGATTTATATACTGTACAAGAAATACAGTAGCCATATTTCACAATGTGCTTGATACAGGGCCATGCATCTGTTAAATGATCATTGCTCCTTTTTAAAAGATTATTAGCGTGTTCTGTTCATATTCAATTTAGATTGAATACTATCTCAATACTATGTTCAAAAACAAAATGAAATTACAATTTATAAAGCCATTCTGATTGTCATTATTTTGACAGATGCCTCTTGAAAATTAAACTTCATATGTACAAGGAGTTGCTGTTCTTCAGCTTTCAGCCACGTTCCCACCAGGCATCTAAAAACTGGACTATGGTGACTGCAGCTCGACTAGAACACGCATATGTAACTACATGTACATCACCATAGTTCACAGTCATTTAATGATTAGGTATAATAACAGTGCTGGTAAACTACATTTTTTCTAGTTATCTTTCACCAAAATAACACAATCATTACTGTTTAATTAAATTAAGCCATTAAACTACAATTCTTACGTTACACCACCTAAATGAAAATTATTACATTGCATTCCTCATTGAACATAATCCAATTTAAAACAAAAAACTTTCCCACTGCAGTTCCCCCTGAGCAGGGCACTGCCTGCTGGAGCAGAGGTGCTACAGCAGCTGACAGAACCAGCCAGTGTAGCGACTAAAAACCCACCCTGTCAGTTTCCCCAGTGCTCCTGATTATGTTCAGCAGCAGATGTCCCCACTCGGATTCAGGTTTCAAATCCCTATGGAAAAGTCCAAATTAGGGGTAAGAGGATCAGAGACTGGGCAATTCATTATTTTACACCCGGGTGGCATTAAAATGTGTGGGTGTAGTATTGTTAGCAGAAGCGTTTGACAGGTGTGAGAATTTGATAGCTTAGCTACTGAAAACAGCACCCGATTGCATCTCCCAGTACGTTGCCGAGCACAATTCAAAGTGTTGGTGCTGACCTTTAAAGCCCTAAACGGCCTTGGCCCAGTATACCTGAAGGAGCGTCTCCACTCCCATCATTCAGCCCAGACACTGAGGTCCAGCTCTGAGGGCCTTCTGCCAGTAACCTCGCTGCGAGAAGTGAAGCTACAGGGAATTAGGCAGATCCTTCTCAGTAGTGGCACCTGCTCTGTGGAATGCCCTCCCATCAGATGTCAAGGAAATAAACAACTATCTGACTTTTAGAAGACATCTGAAGGCAGCCCTGTTTAGAGAAGTTTTTAATGTTTGATGTTTTATCACATTATTATTATTATTATTATTATTATTATTAATCTGTTGGGAACCGCCCAGAGTGGTTGGGGAAACCCAGCCAGATGGGTGGGGTATGAATTATTATTATTATTATTATTATTATTATTATTATTATTATTATCTGGACACCCACCTGTGTCTTGAGCCAAGAGATCTGATGGACTTGATTTTAAAATGATGATTTATTTTTTTAAAAGTTACCATAATATTTGAAATAGCATGGTCATCAGAAAAACCTATAGGAAGGAAAATCTGATAAGGTAAGTTTTTATGTGGGCTTCATGGAGCCAGGAACCCCGATCCAACTGACAGAATCCATTGTGTGTGACCTGCAGGGTCAGTAATGGGGGTGAAACTGGATCCACATGCACTTCCAAGTGTGGTTGCAGTCTATACCTCACCATATTGTTCCACCATCATTCCAGAGTGGCATCTCCTCCCCTGCAAAAAGAAGAAAAAAATGATCAGAGGGTTTTGTTTATTTAAATTAAAAACATATAAACTGCACTTTCGTGGAAAAATAATAAGGTGGTGTACAGCATGAGAATATAATGCTACAATTAAAAAAATAGTACAAGCATAGCAGATCAGTAAAATTAGTTGGTTAAGAAAATGAACATTTATTGGATTGAGATGTACAGCACCCATACTTCAAGGTGCATTTCAATTACACTCTTCAAAGAAGGAATAATACACATGTAGAAGTCTGGTTTCTCTCACAGATTTCCTTAGTTGAATAACAAAAAGTTAGTTTATGCCTCGCACTTCTCTCTGGGCAGCTCCTAGTCAGAGGGATTTGTGGATAGATCCCAAAGGCAGCCCAAGAGAGTTCTAAAAGCCAGAAAGAGAGAGAGAGGAAGTAAGTAATTATTTTGGAGACAAGACCTATGACAAGAGTAATAGGAAGAAAGAGCCAATATCTTAAGATCAGTGGTTGATAAATAAAACATGTTGTTCTCCAACTGGATCACTGTTGTCTCCTATTCCAGACTGAGCTGCTGGAGTAGGCCACAAAGCTACATAATGCTTGTGTCTGGGAGTCTGATCAAAACTTAGCAGGCGGTGGTTAAAATGACTGACGAGATCAACAACGGGTGTCTTGTAAGAAACTTCCTCACACCGAGTCAGAGCAGTGGCCCACCTAGCTCAGTATTGACTGAACACTGTCAGCAGCTCTCCAGAGTTCCAGACAGGGAAGCTTTCCCAGCCCTAACTGCAGACACCAGGAATTAAAACCGAGACTTTAGCTCTGCAAAGCACCAACGTTCAGTGTAAGGAAGTCGGGGAGGGAGGGGAAGAAGGAAAACAGATTTCATCTGCTCATTTTTTCTCCCGCTCCAAGATATGTTTTCCTCCAGGAGTTTCCACATAAGGGGGCAGATCTACAAGTTATATCCAATTCTGTGGTTATTTATTTATTTATGTGTTTATATTTTAAAAAACTTTTACAAATTTTTGCAGCTGCCAGTGCTGCAAGCTGAAGGGGAAGATTGGCATGGGGAGGGAGGCTCCTCTTTAAAATGGCATAAGGGGAGAAGATTAAGAATTGTTTCTACTCTCCACATCAGCCGTCTGCTTCATACTGCAGCGTCAAATTGAACAACACCCATATATAAGTCACAGGAGTATGAAGTTGCACTCTCAATATTTTAAATCCAGAGGAACATGTTCTATTTAATGCATAAAAAAAAACCACCTTGCAAATTAGGAGTAAAATATGCAATTTTTCTTCGGCAGGACGCAAGTTCTGCAGTTACTTTTTCTATTAAAAATAGAGCCCATTAGATACAAGTCCCTGCATTTTTAAGTAAAGCCCCTGTATTTTAAGGAAAATTCAGTAGCATTTCAAACATGTGACTAGCAGAGCAAGGGTACAGTTAGCCAAAGCAGTTGCAATTTAATCAGGTATTCACGTTATTTGCTGAATTACTGACAAAGGCGTAGTTGACTGAACCAAGCTTATGGCTTTGAAGAGTTCATTCTCATGGCACAGCCTTTGAATTAATTTTTTCGTCCATGTGACCTTTTGCTTCATCAATATTCATGCATTCACTTGTTATCTTAGAGGAGAAAATGTCATTTTAGGAAATAAAATCCAAGAAGCACAGAGTACCAATAGGTCAACAGCATGCTTATGCCCAATGAACCGCACACAGTGCTGCAGATGTAAAAATTAAGAATCTCTCACAAATGGTTTCTAAGACAAGGTGCTGAAGCCTCAGCAGCAATGCAAGGACTGTGTCCAGAGCCTCAGCTATGAATCTGGTTCAGATCTGGACTGAGTAAGGTGGGGATTTTTATTTCCACCATGGGAGCCTCCTTAACCCAAAGGCCCATAAGCACAGCCACCTGCTACAAGGCAGGATCCACTACCCATTATCCAGGAGATCAAGCCTGACAAAGAAGAGAACATGAGCTCTACAGAAAGGTACTGATAGAACAAATAGCCCCTGCTAAATCATCTACTTCTGCTTCATTGACTATGCAAAAGCCTTTGACTGTGTCGACCACAGCAAACTATGGCAAGTTCTTAAAGAAATGGGAGTGCCTGATCACCTCATCTGTCTCCTAAGAAATCTCTATGCTACAGTTAGAACTGGATATGGAACAACCGATTGGTTCAAAATTGGGAAAGGAGTACGGCAAGGCTGTATATTGTCTCCCTGCTTATTTAACTTATATGCAGAATTCATCATGCGAAAGGCTGGGCTGGATGAATCCCAAGCCGGAATTAAGATGGCCGGAATAAATATCAACAACCTCAGATATGCAGATGACACAACCTTGATGGCAGAAAGTGAGGAGGAATTAAAGAACCTTCTAATGAGGGTGAAAGAGGAGAGCACAAAATATGGTCTGAAGCTCAACATCAAAAAAACGAAGATCATGGCCACTGGGCCCATCACCTCCTGGCAAATAGAAGGGGAAGAAATGGAGGCAGTGAGAGATTTTACTTTCTTGGGCTCCATGATCACTGCAGATGGTGACAGCAGTCACAAAATTAAAAGACGCCTGCTCCTTGGGAGAAAGGCAATGACAAACCTAGACAGCATCCTAAAAAGCAGAGACATCACCTTGCCAACAAAGAATTGGAAGTGACCCTGAGGATCATCTAGTCCAGCAGTTCTCAACCTGTGGGCCCCCAGATGTTGTTGAACTTCAACTCCCATCATCCCTGAGCTCTGGCCTTGCTAGCTAGGGGTGATGGGAGTTGTAGTTCAACAACATCTGGAGACCCACAGGTTGAGAAAGGCTGATCTAGTCCAACCCCCTGCAGTGCAGGACTATGCAGCCATCCCATACAAGGATTGAACCTGCAGCTTTGGCATTATCAGTACCATACTCTAACCAACTGAGCTAGACATGGGTTAGTCCAAAGGTCCATCCAGTATCCTCTTCTTACATTGGCCAACCAGCTGCATGTGGGAATCCAGCAAGCATTTGTGATTCCCAGAAACTGGTATATGATTGTGAAGGTAGAACAAAACCATTATCGACCTCCCATAGGCATCGGGTTGGCCCCTGTGAAAACAGAATGCCAGATTAGATGGACTTTTGGCCTGATCCATCAGGGTTCTTATTATGTGCTTATTTTCTTAGATATATGTGCCTGAAACGTGTTTGTAAAATGTCAGTGGTTCAGAGGACAAAGTTAGTGCATCCTGCAATCTCTTGACTCAGTATTAAATATTCCTCTAGGCATTCATTTTCTACTGCCCCTTCTTTATCCATATAATGTTCACATTAATAGACAGATATCAGGTATATGACATACATTTTAAGCTCGCCAGGATTTTTTTGAAAGCCGGAGAACCCCTGAGGCTCTGAAGTCCCTTGGGATCCATAGTGGGAGGACGGAAGCACTCTCACTAATTAATTTCTTTGCCCATTGTTACAAGCCAGATGGATACAGAGCCTAATGTTTATCTCAGAAAATGCTGTTTGTGAGTCGCTTTGCGATGAAATAAGACACATGGACACAAGTATTTTAGGTTAATGGGCTAAAAAAGGCCACAACTTTATTGGTTACAGAATGTGAGTGGTATTGGCTTAGGCACTGGATCCAAACAGACTGTACTTGAATCCTGCCCACTCTGCAGGGCGTCACACAAGGGTTAACAACCTGTAGGGGAAGCTTGTTGATGCAAATCAACTGGAAGCTTTCCCCTAGAGTCACAGAGGGTATCGTGCCATGGCCCTAGCCACCACCTGGGCAGGCACCACGACCACCAGATTCCTTTAACAGAATACCCATCAAGGGGAGGGGTAGGTGATGGCCACAACCTCCCCTCCAACACGCAACACATTTTCCAATGCCTAACTGCCAAACCTTACAAAGTTGTGACGATTTGCTACAAGGTAGGTGAAAAACCAACTGGCTGGTGCCAATCTGCCAAGTGGAAAAAATTCCTACCAGGCCCCTTGAATAGGCAACCAACTGAGGTCCATAGCAAGGTCAGGTACTGAAGCAAAACCTAGAGGGAGGGCAGGCGGGTGATCCGAGGAAGCAGGAACAAAACAAGGAAAAGCTCATGGGCCCGCGGCCGTTTAAATGCAGCTAAACTATGCCCCTCACCCAGCCGGATTGGCTGGCTGGGGGACATGACGTGGGCCCAGGACTTCAGTGACGCAGGGGGCCCGGCCACGCCGCCCCGCGAGCATGGGAAGTGATTCCTGCTCACAACCCCTCCCCTCGAGGAAGAGGAGAGGCTATACTATAAGGCTCATAGTGGGATCTAACTACTATGATTCAGTGGATACCCCTTCCTCGCTGGTTTGTTTCCTGTTGCATTGCAAGACCTCATTCAACTGTGCGTCTATCATTTGTGAGACTGAAAGGTGGTGCTCTTGCTGAATTCCTTAATATAGGAGGCCATAGGATGCAATGCATGCATGGCAGGAGCATGGCATGATATATATGAGCTAGTGTGGCATAGTGGTCAGAGTGTCGGACCAGGACCTGGGGGACCAGGGTTCAAATCTCCACTCAACCATGAAGCGCACTGGGGGACCTTAGACCAGTCACTGCCTCTCAGCCTAACCCACTTCACAGGGTTGTTGTGGGGAATAAATGAGGAGGGAGAGAACCATGTAAGATATATTGAGCTCCTTGGAGAAAAGGGGGGCTATAAATACAATCCATCAACTAACTAACTAACTAACTAAATATAGTGAACAGAACCAGAGGCTTTCATTAAGATCTGTCTCCCTATACCCCAATGGCTTCCTCTCCACACCGAAGTGAACCAGAAATCTAGGAACCTCAGGGGTTTTTCTCATAAGAAAGGCATGCCTAGTCTAGCATCTGGTTCTCACAGTGGCCAGCTAGATCATTCCTGTCTCCTGTACCATGACATCACTTCCCGTCTTGCCCATTTTTTGTTATTTTTCAAAGGAAGGAAGGAAATTCCCCATAGGAATTAGTGGACTTTATTAGCCAGGCAGGCGGTCCCTGGAGGATAGGAGGATGAGACAATCCCTCCTTTACTGGAAGTAGTGATTGGCAATGAAATATTTCATGGGGAAGATGGAGCCTCTTGCTTCTCTGAGAGATCAATTAAGTACATATAAATAATGTCATTGACTGTGTGCCCCAATGGAGCAATAGTTTCCTTCAATCAGCTAGGGACCATCCATACATTATGTCATGCATCAATGTTTGGAAATGTAGGATGCTGTCTTGCTCAGTCTGGACTAGTCTCACAACAGAAACTCTCTAGGGTTTCAAAGGAGGAGTTTTTCTGAGCCCTACCTGGCAGTGCCAGAGGCCTCTGCATGCAAAACCTGTGTCCTCCCACTGAACTATAGCCCCACCTGCATTGCAAAGGCGGTAGTAATGTTGCTGTGCCAAAAAACAAGGCTTGGATAATGGTTAAAACAGCAAGTCCCCACACCTACACCACGTTTGATATCCCCCAAAAGGATTTCTCAAAATGAGGAAAGGCCAACAATGCAGTTCAACAGAAAATAGGACATTTTAGGACAAAACCTCTAACTTCAGATCTACAGTACTGGAATCTAAATTGTCTAAGACTCTCCAGGAAATTGATGTTGGAATTTAAGTGGAAAATCAGATGTAAACATTGCACCAAAAGTAAAGGAAATCCTTGTACCATTATACAGATCTGTGCTTTGGTCACATTTATAAAGTTCTAGTTGTTGGAAAAGGTGCAGAAAAGGGCTGGTCAAGGGTAGCAGCTCTTTCCCAGTGAGGAATATCTAAAATGTTTGCTAAGGGCAGAAAAATGCAAATAAAGGAGAGATATTATAGATATTTATAAAGTTATAAAAAGTATGGAGAGAGGGCAGCTGCGAATACGCTCGTATTGTTTATTCCATTTGTTGTACTCTGTTGCCATCTGTTGTCAGACTCTTGATATAGTATATTTTCCTTCTGTGTGTATATTTCCCCCTTTACTTTTTTACCTCCACCCTGTTTCACTGGAGTGCTCGCTGCAGTTCATAAAACTGCTTCATCCCTGGAGAAGGGCACTAAAGTAAATAAACTGGGCTGTTTTACTGTTCCACCAACCTCCAAGACACACTTTTAAATAAATGGTCCCCTCCTGCAATAAATTGCTATATAAATGAGCACAGGAAGCTGTGTTATACTGAGTCAGACCACTGGTCCATCTTGTTCAATATTGTCTACTCCGACTGGCAGCAGATCTCTAAGATTTCAGGAAGGAGTGTCTCCAAACCCTGCATGGAGATGCCAATGGGGATTAAACCAGGGACTTTCTGCTTGCAAGACAGATGATCTACCACTGAGCTACGACCTTTCAGCTACTACCTGAAGGAGCGTCTCCACTCCCATCGTTCAGCCCAGACACTGAGGTCCAGTACTGAGGGCCTTCTGGCAGTTCCCTCATTGCGAGAAGTGAGGTTACAGGGAACCAGACAGAGGGCCTTCTCGGTAGTGGTGCCCGCCCTGTGGAACGTCCTCCCTTCAGATGTGAAGGAAATAAGCAGCTATCTTCTTTTTAAAAGACATCTGAAGGCAGCCCTAATTAGGGAAGTTTTTAATATTTAATGCTGTATTGTTTTTAACACTTGATTGGAAGCCGCCCAGAGTGGCTGGGGAAACTCAGCCAGATGGCTGGGGTATAAATAATAAATTATTATTATTATTATTATTTCAGGTGATTTTTAAAAAAACAAAAATAACATCTTCTGATTCAGCACTCCCTCATGGGACGTCTTCAAGCAAAAGTTGGATAACCATCAATTAGAGATGCTGTTTGTCTGAATTCTTTGCACCAAACATAGTTTGAACTATATGGCCTATCCTGCAATGCTCCCTCTTCCATCTCAATGATTCTATTAACTTTCTATTATTTTTATCTAGCATGTGCTGAAACCTTCCAATAATACCTTGTTATTTTATAAAATACTGCTGCACAGCCCAAAGCTTCTCCTATGACTCATTTTTGACTGGACATGTTATCTAAAATTTTAATGGCAGTCTAAAAGATCAAAAGCGGAAAACTTTTTAAAATAAACTTGCAAGTTCAACTCGAAGATCAGTGTTACAGTGTGTGTGAATGCTAGTATCTTGGGAAAAGCTTCATTAGTTCTCTGCTACATCATAGGGGAATACTTTGCCAGTGTCTTGATACCGTTATGGAAAATGATAATGTTTCACTTAAGACATCCCACATCTCTTCAGCCCTCTCAGGGAGGGAGCAGTTCAGAGGTTAGAGGAAGCTTCAAATCTAGTACATTGTACAGTACTAGCAAACGTAGTACAATTAATCTGGCTTGCTTGCTATGGCTACTTCCATCTTACTGCTTGAACTACATTTGGAAAGCCAAAAAACCTCCACAAATTCAGTCATATTGCTATTTATGTACACTTCATGTTAACAAAATGGTGAAGAAAGGCATCTGTCTATATCAGGAATGGGAAATCTGTAGTTCTCTAGATGTTGTTGAACTCTTTATCATCCCCAGCCAAAAGTCAGGGACGATGGAAGTTATAGCCCAACAACATCTGCAGGACCACAAGTCCCTCAACCCTTCCTTAAGTCATCCTTTGCCTTACTATATTTTGTTTCATCATTCTGCTTCTTTAAAATAAATTGGTACTTTTATTTAATACATCCACATTTTATGCCAGGCATTGCATCCATTGTTAAATGCTCTCTTGATATAGGCTCTCTATTGAGGGTTGTCTAATTCCCTGATATAATTAAGTATAACTTGATGGCAGCAATTAAGACATGTTCCTTCTTATCAAGTTAAGACAATGTAAAGGATACCGGTGCAAATTCAACAGGGGGAAAGTGTGAAGCTGGTAAAGAAGAGAGTTTAAAAGACCCATTATATTTGCACTTTTATCTCAGTTTCCTTTGTGACAGAGGGAATCTGTGTATCCTGGACTCCTGGATAATGTTAGGGATCCCAAAGAATCAAACCATGCCCCAAACCCAATCTGAGAATGAGAAATTCTGCAGGTTACCAAGAAGAAAAAGTAATCAACACTTGACTGTACTGTTTTCTGCCCCAAAAGACAAGTGCACTTTCTTGTAAGTAAAGAAGTGATTATTTATTATCACAGACTCAGCATTGTGGGAAGAGAAGCATATAGTCCAGATGTTTTTACAAGGACAGGGGAAGTCATAAAAAGACCAATTCAGAATCAAGGTCAAGTTTCAGATGCCCAAGTTCAGTAAACAGGTTTCAAGACTACATGTGAGCTGTGAAGTTGCTCAAAGTTCCTCCCTGCTAAGCTTTGAAGCAGAAGTGGAGAATGCCCAGCTACTCCTCACTGCAGGAATTCGTGGCCTGAGGGCAGGCACTCTGCCCAGGGAGAGCCTGCCTCTCCCTGGGAGACATTGCCAGATCCACCTTCTCATTCTCATTCTCTGGCAGGGATACAACCACCAAATTCTCAAATGGCCCCCTCTCATCTGTGGGTGTTTTGTTGTTGTTGTTGTTGTTGTTGTTTCTGTCTTATATAACGCACTAATGGAACCTCTGTAATACCTGCTTATTTAGAGACATTGAAAGTTATTGGGAGTCATTCGTACACCTCTATTTATTTCAACTACTACAAATCAATGGGATGCAGTGGTTGGTCTGGGAGCACAAATCCTGTAAGAGTTATGAGGTTTCTGATGTGTGGATGTGATCAGTACCTGGATGGGAAGCTGCTAGGAGCCCACATAAACCATTCTGGGCTTCCTAAAGGATACACGTAAATCAGGGAAGAGCAACTTGTCACCCTCCGGATGTTAGACTCCAAGTCCCATCAGCCCCACCTAGCATAGCAACATCTGGAGGGCCACAGGTTCCTAACCCTTGATATACATCACCACCACCATCCATAGTACACTGACTCGTCTCCCAAGTACAACAGCTGAAGAACCAACTTTCTATTTTGTAAATAATGTTATTGAATGATGTGATAGGTTGTAGCCACTAGGTAGCAGTAGAACATCAGTGTTGAATATAATGTAACTTTAATTTACTCTGAAATCTGGGGGAAAGTGATGGAAAAGGGGGAATGGGAAATGTATTGGATGCAAGAATCAATAGAATTATTCATTTCTAGATGCCTACTCCATGGTTACCACAGGCATCTTTGATCTTGTTTGGGTGTCATTGTACTGGGCATATTTCTAGGTGTGGAACAAGGTATTTTAAAATTGAAGTTTCATATTCAAGGCCAGGTTGGCAATCTAGACTTGGCAGTGATGTGGCGAAGCCAATATCAGTTGTCATATTTTGTGCACACTCTGCCATGGTTTCCTATGCTTGTGCCAGGATGTGGAAGGCTGTGGTCTTGACAAATAGTGAAGTATTGACAAGTTTGGCCACCATGTCAATCAATCAATCAATCAATCAATCAATAATGGCTTAATCATGGACCACACCAACATTGAAGGTAAAAGTTTATTATGACATTAGTCAAGCTATATCTGCAGACATCTAATTCCCTCAGCATTGTGGTCCTCTTTTGAAATGAGTATTCCCCTCCAAACATCCCTTCTACTGATGCTGCCAAAATCATTACAGTTGTGTAATATTTTTGTCAAAGTACATTCTTGGTTCAACTGTGTTGCTATTGAATACTTCAATCATGCATTGACTTATTAACATTTAAAAGGAATTTGCTCGAGCCAAATGAAACTCGCAAATTATGGGAAATGAGCATGATTCTGTGTGCATGCTGTAAAAATATCTTCGCCACAGAAAGAATTTTTATTCCTCTAATATGTGCATAATTACTGTCTACACTAGATAGTAAGAAGTAAGGTTTCTGTGGTTTTCACAAGTTATGTGTTTACCTTCTCTCATCATATATTGTACTGATGGATATTTTTATTATTTCTATCTATAATCATGGTTTTCAGCCTTTTTGAGTCCACGGCTCTTTTGACCAAATACATTTTTATGTGGCCACCCCTGTGGGGCTCAGGAGCCCAGTTATGTCACCCCTTGCCTGTAGAGCCGGTAGCCTCTCACCCTTTTGTGAACATGCTCCCTTGTGGAGTGTTCCCTCAGCCTCCTCTCCTCTTCTCTCTCCTTGGGAGTCATCCAAGCAGCTGTTGCTGCCACCCGTGGTTTCTGAACTGCCCCGCCCCTGCCCCAAAGAGAGGTGCCTCCTCACACTGCCCCACAGGGACCTGGGCTGGTGGACTGGCTGGCTGGGCTCCTTCACCTGCTTGCTTGCTTACTCCAAGGCTGCCTCAGCTCCTGGCAACCAGCACCCCCTGGCCAGCCCCAGAGGCACCATTTGCCTGGGGCGCTTGAAGCCAGGGCTCCTGCAACAAACAGCTGTGCAAGCCTTTGGAAGGCAGAGACACAAGAGGGCATCAGAGGAGGAAGGGAAGGGAAGGGGGACAGAGGCCAGTGTTGCCCGCGGCACCCCTGACCATCATTCAAGGCACCCCAGGGTGCCACGGTACACTGGTTGAAAACCACTGCTGAAAACGTTGGCAGCATTAAGGTAAATTCAACAGTGTTTATAAATTTTGATGGATGTAATAATGGAATACTGAATGGTTTAGTTTATGTAAAATATGCAGGAATTTATGTTATGTAATATGAACCATGGAAAGAGAAGAAGGGAAGTCATCGATATTTTAAGGTTGTTTAAATGAATATTCGAAATTGTAAAACAGGGAAAAATATTCTCCCTCTCGGTACTAGTAGTAGGGGACAGCTAATAAAGTGTTGGAAATTTCAAGACAGACAAAAGAAAATACTTCTTCACATAGTGCATAGTTTAAATATGGAATTTGCTCCCACAAGATGGAGTGAGGGTCACCAATCTGGATAGTTTTAAAAGAGGACAAGGCTATCAATAGCAACTAGCCACAAAGGCTATGTTTTCCTTGCACTTTCAGAGTCCGAATGCCAGCGGCTAGGAACTGCAGGTGGGCAGAACACGGTTCCACCCAGATCCTGCTTGCAGGCTACCCATGTGCATCTGGTTGGTCACTGTGAGAACAGAATGTTGGACTACATGGACCTTTAGCCTGATCCAGCAGGGCTCTTTTTATGCTCTTACACTATAAAATGTTAATAATAATAATAATAGTAATAATAATAATAATAACAATAATAATAATATGCAATGATATTTCATCAACTCGGGTAGGCAGAAGCATACCCACGTAGGCCAAGGTGCTCACAACAGGTCTATGGCATCTGTCACACTCTAGATGGTCATTTATTTGGGGTGGGGGCTGATATGCAGGGCTCTCAACTTTGACCCTGAAGTCCAGCCCTAGCTACACCACTGCTTCTGAATTAATTTCTTCTTGACTCTGTTAACCAGAAGAAATTGGTTTTAGTAATTACAGGTATACCCCACTCCCTATAGTGGCTATGAGGTAAGGCAGTGGTGCTTACCTGACCTCTTGGCAGTGGGGTAACTGCTGTTTACTGGATGGGAGAGTAGAAGGGCCAAAGAAAGGAAGGCTGGCACTGTGCAAAGTCTCATCTGCTGCTGCTCATACCTTTTTTTGCTTCATAGAACTCCAGGTGTGCACATAGAGTTTCCAGGTGAGTCTTCTATCTGGGCATTGATCAGATCCAAACCTTATTAGCTGCAGCAAGGTTGCTGCCTCATGTGCCTTCAGATCATGTCCTGAACAGATTAAGTGTCTGGCTTTCAATTGATTTCATCAATTAATTAATCACTTACAGACACAGGTTTTTCCTCCCCCCCCCAAACCACAATAAGATAGTTGGAAGCAGGTTGCAAGCCACTTCTGTTAATGATTTTGTGACATAGAATGCTCTTGGCATTAAAGTCCAGGTGGCACCTTCCAGAAGGCCACAAATCCAAGTTTGTGGAAGAAGCTGATTTCAAAGCAAACAAATAAAAATCACATCTTGCTATATCTAGAAACTAAGTTGCTACCACATACATATTTTGAAAAGTCAGGCTTCTGCAATTGCTTTTCCCTGGAAACGTTATTGATTGTGGTCTGTAGGTGGCAGAAACTTTCTGCAATAAATGTGCTCCAATTTCTTTGACAGAAAAGCACTGTTGGTTACCATTTTGATAACACTAGCTCTACAGAAAGGAACACTGACCCCAAGATTTCCATGGGAGCCAGCTGACACAAATATATTCCGGGAAATAGCAGGAGAGTACATAACAGGATTCTGCCTCCCCCTCCCTGACTGCCTGACAATACAACTCCCAAAGCATCAAGGAATCAAAAGCGGCAAGAAATCCAAGCCTCAGTCAGCTCATGATGATTTTTGACATCTTCACCAGAGGCTTCTTGGAGGCTATGAAAACAAGCTGCTACTTCACCAGATCTTAACCCTTTTGACCCTCACATGTAAAAATACAGAGGGTAGCAAGAAGCCAAACCCCAGGAGCTTTGCTAGTTTCTTAAAAGACATGGTGCACAGACCTATGGCATAGATTAACATAAAATTTGCATGTGCTCATTTAAATGTAGGAATTTAATTTTAGGAGGCTTGTTAGGCTCCAGATGTCCCCTACAATATGTAGAGATGCAAATTTAGATGAATCTCATAGGGCAGAAAACCAAGACCGTCTGTCTGGCCTTAATCTGAGCTATGGGCCATGTGCACTGCACGTGGTCTGGGCTCTCCATTTCATCTCACAATCTTTTGGCAAGAACTTGTGAATATATTGAAACTAAAACAAGTGCCTCTGGTCAAATTAAGGTGGCAGCATGTCTGCAGACTCTCACTGGCCCTGCATTTTATAGTGCACCTAGTCAAAGCAAAGAATAATTTGAATAGTTTTAATGAGCAAAGGAGCAGGAGATCTTGGACTCAGCACAAGGGACCCATGGTTTGGCAACAAACACCTTAGCCAACTTGATAATGGGTCCCAAGGTCCCAGTCAGGTCATGCTGATCCCTTGCATCTTCAGGAAGGCCTACTGGGAGGGTAAGCAATGGCAGACAAGTTGCTATTTCATCAGACCTCAGGCTTTTGAAATAGAATGTGTAGGTTTTATGAGTGTGGTGTTTCAACTTCAGTTGGATCATTTAACCCTGAACTTGAACACCAAAAGTTTATTCTGTTATCTTGGTCCTCAAGAGGCAAATGCTACACTGTGATCCCTGTGTGCAGCAGTTAAACGGGTAATCAAGCATCCAGTGGAGAATTCTGTCATAAATATACATAGCAAGCCTCACTGAGTTCTCAAAGGAAATGTCCCTCTTTTCTTCCTGGGCTCATAAAACATTGGTGCAGGAGCTGGGGTTTGACCTTCAAATGGAAAATTTGTCAACTCATGAGCTGGAAATTGAAAGAGGAAGCAGCTGGACATTTAAAATCCAAGGCAATGTTTTAAAATAAAACATAATAACCACTCAGAATGCCACGTGACACCCTAAAAAGCTGGCACACAGGCAGTGAATTTGGAAGAGGTGGGGGAAGCTCACAAGAAGGCATGAAGGGAAAGTGAAACAAATAAGTATTAGGGTTCATCCACACTTTCACCTGCCCTGTATTTTGATCATATTGTGAACTGATTAAATCCTCCAAATCCAATAGCTTTTCCTTTCCATGGCTAAGCCTTATGAAAATCTGACCTTTCCAACTGAATTGAAGCTTGGTTAAGCAACATCTGGCTTTGGATTTTCCACACATCTGGTAAGATCTGATTCAGCAGGTAAAATGGGATTTTTGCAATGAGACCCTGGGGAATTAATCTTGGACCCAGGGGAATTAATTGGTACATATTACGGGTGGTGCTGTGGTCTAAACCACAGAGCCTAGGGCTTGCTGATTGGAAGGTTGGCAGTTCGAATCCCCGCGTTGGGGTGAGCGCCTGTTGTTTGGTCCCAGCTCCTGCCAACCTAGCAGTTTGAAAGCACGTCAAGTGCTTGGCAGGGGGTTGGACTCGATGGCCCTTGTGGTCTCTTCCAACTCTATGATTCTATGATTCTAAGTAGATAAATAGGTACTGCTCCGGGGGGAAGGTAAAGGGTGTTTCCATGCGCTGCTCTGGTTTGCCAGAGGCGGCTTAGTCATGCTGGCCACATGACCCGGAAGCTGTCTGCAGACAAACACCGGCTCCCTTGGGCTATAGAGCGAGATGAGCGCGCAACCCCAGAGTCATCCATGGCTGGACCTAACGGTCAGGGGTACCTTTACCTTTACAATCAAAACATGGGTCAAGTGAAAGTGTGGTTGAGTCCTGAGTAGCAAAGAGAATGTGATCAAGCTGAAAGACAAAGGACCCCTAGTTAGGGGGAAGTAACTATTCTTTCACAGTCCTTTATTCAAAGTGGCCATACCCTTCCAACCATGGAGCCTCTTTCCTTAATGCTGGGACAGAACCTTAGTAGTAGTCAAAATGCTCCTCTCTCTGGCTGGTGCCCGTTCCAGGGCTCTGTTTCTTTTTAACAATCCATGATGTTCAAATTGAACAGGTCTAGAAAAGGCAGCAGATTTGGCTGGGGGATAACACGGAAAGCAACGAGGTGGAGAGGTTGGGATTGAAGAAAGCTCTTCTTGTAACAAAATGTTGCTGCTGTTTCAAAGCCTGTACTTTATTTTTCTATCTTGTAAAATCCGCGTTCTTAAGGAGAAGTGGCAGCAGGCTGGAAAATCTCTGATTGAAATTGCAGAATCAAATAGTTTTCGCTGTTTGCATGAGTGTGTCAGAGTGCACACACAAAGGAGGCCTCTTTATGTTCTGAATGGGAATGCTAGAACATAATTTCACATCAGTATGTGCAAGCATAGGGCTACTTCATGTCGCTGGTATGCACATGGCCTGTGCGTGCATTGTTGGTGGGACAAGACTCGCCAATGTGACCCTGCAATCTCGTAATTCATGTTTCCAAGGAATGTGTAAATCCTTCTAATACCTGCTCTCTGCTATAAAAGGGATAGCTACAGGGTTAGTTCTAGAACTGGCAACCCCACCTGACTCCATGCAACTATACATAACACAAGCCAATCATGTGTCATCCAGGCCAAATTGTTTAATTCTATATGAGTTGATTAGCCCACACATGAAGATTATGTCCAAAACTCCTCATAACATTTTCAGGGTACTGTTAGAGTTGGTACTAACATACCAAATTGGAAATTGGGGTGAGATTGTAGGGTTTGTGAAGAACATAATCCTTATGGCCACATGTCAGGACTGAAGGATGTAATACCAGAATTAAAAAAATAAGGCTGTGCTGTTGGCATTATTTGCCCATTCAGGGTCACTCTGTGGATGTTCAAATGCACACTGTGCTTAAGTCGATTTTCTTTCTGAACTGTTTCCTGTCAGGTGAGAAAGGCTTTTGCTTATGCTCAGATGCACTCAGCCCAAAAACAAAAATTGGTGACTCTGGAGGGCATCTTTTAAATCAGGTGTGGGCAAACCGATTAGGGCCCAAGGGGCTACATGTCAGTGGTGTGTGGAGGCAGAGCCACATATAAAGGTGCTTGAAATGAACTAATTCAGAATAAAGACCACCCTGCTTCAATTTCCCCCATAGGTATCTCAGATTAGAGTTCTCAGCCCTGTGGAGGTTTACTCAGAAGTACCGGTAAGCCCCACTAGGAGTGTCACATGCTAGACTGAAGAGTGAAGGCACTTGAGTGTGATAGCACTGGGTTGAGGAACTCTGTTTCACTGATAACCAGGCAGGTGTTTTCCACTTGATGCTTTATATATTTACATAATGCTTTTATTCAGGCTTGTGTCAGCTGAATTATTACTAATTTTGCCTGTAACTGACATCGCATATAATGAAGACATTTTAGATGCTGTTTTAATATTGTTTTGATGTATTTGTTATGTGTTGTGTGTATTTTACTCACTGCTTGAATATTCTTTATGAACAAAACAGTTATACATTCCTATATAAATTAGAACTAAATAAGTATGCAGATGATTGTTTTTAAGTAGAGCAGACCAATGCAGTTACTAAACTGGAAATCAAGCAAAAGTAATCTCTCTCTCTCTCTCTCTCTCTTTATACACACACAGCAGAAGCCTACCAATTTGTTCTCAGACAGCTGGGAGGGAAACTTATTTTCCCCAAACCACAAAACCAGAAAAAAGTTTTTAAAAATAGCAAGCAAAAAACCAATTTATTTTATCAAATAAAATGCTGCCCTTTCCAATTGTTCTGACATTACACAGAAAGTGAGGCAGAGAGGGGAACTCTTTTAAAAGCTGGGGAAAATCAGGAGGAAATTAATACAAAGGAAGGAACCCTGGTGGGATGGAAGAACAGGAGCAACTTTAGGTGACACCGGGGGCTGCATAAAACACATTCTAGGCCTCATGTAGCTCTGTGGGCACTTAGCAAATCTACTCTCCCAACTTAGTGGCCTGAAGTTTGGCAAACATCATCCCTAAGATATTATGCCTGCAAATTTCACCCAATTCTACCCCCCCCCACCACACATAGCAATTTCTGTTTTAAAAACCCACAAACCCTCAGCCCTTAGAAGGCTCATCTGCTCCATTTTTGTCTCAGATGTGGCAGTCTTCATTGCCTCAAAAGGGGCTGCTATCCTTGCAAATTTCATCCAATTCTGCACATACACACAGAGAAAGATATAGATATATAGCTATCTGTTGAGTTCTCCAAAGCAACTATCTACTTCAGACTTGAGCCAAGCAGGAATTGCCCAGAGTGGTCTGAAACAAAGCAACCCACAATCTGAAGTGCCAAATGAAATATTTTTATGTACATACAGTTAGAAGCAGTCCTCGCCTTGATATATGGTGGAGCTTATTGGACATAATTTTCCCACACCAGTTCAGACAATTTGGCATAGGCTACACAGGACAGGGCTTTAAGCGGGGTAAGATGCAATGGGGATGCCATTCCACTTCTTTTCAGGTGGACAAACCTGCATCTGGCCTAGCCATCCTGCTTCCTCCCCCCCCCCCCTTGGGCACTGACCTGTGGTACGCATGGTTGCACTGAATCAGCACACCATACCCCGATACAACCTTTACCATCCCCAGCCCTGGCACTCATGGCCTCTGAACTGATTAAAAGCGGCAGGCCGATTGTCTCTGGGCAAAGAGTACCATTTCCTTTCTCCTCGCACAAATAGGCGCTTTCACACCTCATTGAATTAGTGGCTGTTGTTTGATGGCAGAGCTCCGGAGCCTGAAGAGGCCTTGATGGATTAGATGCTGCCAGAGACAATGCTGACAATCAGGTCCCGGGCTTTGTTTTATTCCTTATATTCTCTCTTCTTTATTTTATTCCTTACTTTTAATGACTAATGTGGCCCTTAACGCTTTCCAAATTCCAGATTGCGCAAGGTGTGTTAAACTGCCCGTGCTTCCATTATTGCTGTTTATTATTCACGGCAGAACAAGGCCCAGACAGCAAATTGCTTTGTTGATCCTGTGAAGAGAATCGATTCTCATACTCTTAGTATACTTGACATATTTATCACTGGACTGGGGTAATGGAGAACATCACACTTGGACTGTTAGTAATATTGGTCTGTGTAGGGAACCCACTTGGGTTTAGGCTTCTGTTTTTTGGCACAGAGGCTCCCCAAATATATCTTTCCAAGTTTAGATATAATCAAAAGAGAGGCAATCATCTTGTCCAAGGAAAGATGGAAGAACTGCAGCACAATAATTCTATGTTACACGCTTTCCTGCTGGGCATCAGTACCCAATAAAACTTTGCTTGGTTTAACTTGCACTTGAAAAAAACCCCAGGATACTTTTATGATTATGAATACTTGTGTGAATTGCTAAGAGCCAACAGCTGTCTTAGGAAGGATCGCCCATTAGGTTAAGTTAGCATTGGGCCACCAAGAAACATTGTCATGTTGTCATGCGCCGGAGAAAGAAAGAGAGAGGTTTTTTTTAAACCTGCATTCTTGCTACACAGAGAAGACTGTTGACACTCACAAAGCCCAGTATGTTAACAGTGTACTGGAGAAAAATTCAGGGCAGCTGGCATCACCCTTTTTATACTCAGGTGACCTATATTCCTGAGGATCCTAGAGTTCATGGTTAAGCAGACATACTGGTGTGCACACTTTTCTTTTAAAGTTCTGGTGGCTTTTCAATTCAGTCCCCTGTTTTGGAGCAGCGCCTTTTCAAATGACCAAAGGCTTTGTGGCATTTATGGAAGAACTTCTGAACACATGTCAGAAAGATTGGGGGTGGGGGACAACCCCATCAGCACACTTTATCCCACTGTTTTCTGTGAGAGAAACTTATGCACATTTCTAGGTCATCAGTGTGCTAGACAATACACAGACCAAAAAAAGAAGTGTCTCCATGTCCATTCAGAAGACCTCCAGCTTATGTTAGATGACCAAGCAAAGTATGTGGGTAGAGTACTGGGTTGTCAGATAGTAAGAGATGATCAGACGAGTTGAAACAAGGGTGACTCAGATCTAAAATGGCAATGCATTGATATTCCAAAGGACCTAGGCCTTGATATAGTTTTACCAGTCCATGGTCAATTCTGATTGACACAAGTGCTTCTAAGTTTTCACCTGGATGCTCAAAGGTCTTGTCTTTACACCCAGCAAAAATGTCACCAAACCCACTAGAAAATCAGCAGCATTCCATGGCAACAACCCGCAGAACAGAGGCATTCTAAAAACTGCAGCTAAGGCAAAGCTTAATGCATTTCAGGTTATGATGCAGCCCTTCCTCTGCTGACAGGTTTAAACAAAGGTCAATATTTTATTAAGCAGGAAAATAAGAGCCGTAGACACCTTCCTCTTGTTTCCCTGGTTCCTGTCACTGCTTTTGCCACTAGAGAGTTCAAAGCACCCAGCGAGCAGGAGAAAATAAGAAGAGGAAAGAAATGTAAATGAAAACCAGTTTGGAAAGGAGGCGATGCTCTGTTAATGGATCGGACTGTGTGCTGGCAACATGGCCATCCCAGCACTACAAATCAGCCAGCGTAACCCACCCACTGGGAACTTCTGCTACAAACTCTTAATGAAACATTACAGAGAATAACAGATCATAAAGCTGTGGTGTGCACACAGATCATTAATGCATAAGGGCAGCTGATGCATACACAAGGAGACAAGCAACAAACAGAGTCTGAGGATGGACTAACTTGCTTGGGCAAGCCTCAGCTCTCTCTCCCTCCCTCCTCTCTCCTTCGTTATTATTATGAGTGGAAATAGCAGTTGCAAAACAGTAATCAATCATGTATAACTGGAAGCTAAGTGTTACTACTAAAGAATTAATTTACGGAGTGTGTATTTGAGCATCTTTTTTCAACCCTTGCAGTTGTGAAGTCATGAGCCATAGATTTGCAGTTCTGGATCCCCAGGAACATCCGAGGCAGCAGATTATCTAAACCAGCACTGCAAACACTTGATCACGTGAGTACCAGTATTGTAAAACTGGTGCTTGTGACAACTGAAACCACAATGCATAGTTTGCGCTCCAGATAGATAGATTCTGCTGGTCCCTGGGCAGATTTGATCACGCAAAGGCTGCCTTTAGTTATTAAATCACACACCGGTGACTGGACAACAAGCTGTTGTTTGGGTGGGTAACAGCCACAAAGAAGTGAAGAATAACCAGGCAAGCAATTAGCAAATGACAAAATATGGAAGGCTGACAGGAAAAGCTAATCTAGAGGCAGCTGGTAACCATGGAATTGAAGCAACGTGGCACAGTGTCTTATTTATTTATCTGTTTATACCTGCATTTGCTAAGCACCATAAAGAAATCAAAATAAGATACATGAGCCCTGCCACCAGGCATTCGAAGGAAGGAGAGTTGAGGGCAAAGGGAGAGAAGTGAAATGGTTTGGACAGTAGTACCAGATTATTATTATTTTTAAGGGATTGAGTTATTTATAGCATTTATATCTGTTTGAGGCCAGGCTGGTCTCTTGCTGGTGGTGATCTTGTTAGGATGGACATATGGAGGTGGAACAACAACCTAGGGCTCGTCCACACTTTGGCTTGTCCTGTGCATAGAAAACATGGGTCCAAGTGGTTTTCCGCTTCTCCTGCACTTTCTAGGCATGGGTCTGAGCTATTTTGCCTTTGCCCCACTGCTTTCCCCCAGAAAACCCACTCTTCAGCACTAAAGCAGAACAAATGGCAACTCGTGGAAAACTAATTGCCATTTGTTCCGTCTGATTCAGTGCTAAACTGCGGGTTTTCTTGGGGAAAAGCAGCGGGGCAAATGGAAGTGTGTCCCTCATGGCCCTTAGACCCTGGGCTCATGTCAGGAGCCAGAGTGCCTTTCCCCGTCCCCCCGCAGTCAGAGGCAAACTGACAATTAGAACACAGTCCTGGCAGAAACAGGGAAGCTCCTTGCCGCTGGCTACATATCAAATTATCCTTCATCATTTATTTGGTAAATTTATATTCCTCTTTTCAGTTAGGAGTCTTCAAAGCAGCTAACAAAGATTTATAAAATCAAAAGGGATACACCAATAACCACAAGCTCACAGAACAAGCAGTCCCACAAAGGCAGCAGCCAGCTTCAGGTGTTCATTTCCACAGGACGGATGGTTTCATTTGGCCATGTGGTGAGGAGGGGACCATCCAACTGGAGACGGCCTGATATTGTTGTTGTCCCCCTCCCTCATTTTTTCAGTATCTAATTATATCTGAATCGATATTGCTGCCCTATAAGTGGTTCCCCAAAACAAATGCAAGATCCAGTGTGGTGTAGTAGTTAGAGTGCTGGGCTGGGACCTAAGTGACCAGGGTTTGAATCCCCACTTGACCATGAAGGCTCAGTGGGTGACCTTGGGCCAGTCACTGCCTTTCAGCCTAGCCTACCACACAGGGCTGTTGTGAGGAGATGAATGTATGCCACCCTGAGCTCCTCAGAGATAAGGTGGTCTATAAATGTAATAAATAAATAAGAAAGAAAGAAAAAACTATTTTTAAAAAACTGCAAACACAGTTAAGTCACAGATTCATATACTGACATACCATCTGAACCTAATCACTAACCACTTGACAACACTCCTATCCATACAGTCAAGACCCTGCCATTCATGAGCATGGTAGATCAGCTTATTTGCTTTCCTGTTGATGATAGCAAGTTAATTGCACACACACTGCAGAAGCTGCCGGCTCCGTTGGATTTTCTGTGTCACTCATTACAAGACAGTTTAAAATAATGTGGCTTGGTGGCTGGGTCCAGAAAAGCATGGAATCCATTACAGGAGATTTTTATTTTATTTTACTTTATTTCACCCAATACCTTGGGGGTTTAGAGCTTCATCTGTGTGTTACTTCCTCCAAATGGAAAAACAGAATAAATGCATATTTGAAGTAATAAAAGCCCTTTCGTACCCCAACCGAGTACAAATTAACAATTACTAGTGCTGTCTAATGCTTTTCTGCCCGAACATTTTCATTTAACAGCCGTTCTTTTATCTTCAATGCTCCAGTTATTTTTCCCCTCCAAGATATTTATTGTTAGGCTGCTGCTGTTTTGTTTTATTTTCCTTTTTTTCCAATTTAGCAGCAGGAGGAAAAGATTTCATCCTGTTTGTTGTGCAGGGAGAGAGAAAGAGAGGGAGAGAGGAGAAACCAATTTTATCCTCATGTACAGGTTACATTGCCCTGCAACTATAAAGAGGAATATGCTCTGGAGCTAAGCTCCATGAACTGTTTTGTGGCCCTTCAGAACCGGGCAATCTCTGGCTGAATTAGCAGTCAGGTTGCTAGCTTTTGAGTTCTACAGTTCTGGTCCCAGAAAGTGGGTAGCTAGACAGCAGTGTCCTTTAGCCTCTGGCAGCTGGGGATGAAGATGCTATACATGGAAGTAAGCATGAGAGGAACCCCTGTTGCTCTGACTCCCCCATTTCCATTCTCCTCTCTAACATGAAAGGTTGGTACAATAGCCACAGACCAGAAAAAGAAAAGAAATGGAGGCATCAGAGCAACAAGGATTGCTGTCATGCTCACCTCCTGCTGCTTCTCTTGCTTACACAACACATTGCCACTACACTGGAGCTGTGTTTGTGATGGGTGTATAAATTGTACGCTGGAGTACTGACTCCTCCTCTAGATGTCTACCAGAGACCTGAATCAGCCGGATCATAGCTGGAAGACAGACAAGTTGGCCATGCATTTGCAAAACAGCAAAGAGAAAATGCTGAGAGTCTCTGAGCCTCGGACAATTCCCAAATGGATTCAGAAAGAAAGCATGATAGGGCTATAAACACAACACATTAATGGCCCTCAGGCCGCCTCAACTTTGAGGTTGTGTTCAGCACCTCTCCCCTTTGCCACTAGGTGGTGACATGAGGTAAGGGACAAATCTTGATCTTTGCAGCACATCTGGACCAACAGTTAATTAATTTGGCAAAAACTGTGTTTGGCTTTTCTCTGTTTTAAAAGCTGAGAAGGAGATACATCTCACAAACTTGAGCAGGGATGCACAGGATAATAATATCTAAGTCTGACATCACATGATTTTTCTGGCATCCACTTTGCTACATGAACTTTCCTAGGGACCTGCTTACATATTATGGCCACCTGGGAGCCAAAAGGAACCTACTTGACCTAACTATCTATTCTAGGTGCTGTTGCCACTGGGATATGTTCTGTTTAAAGGGCCAGGCTTTCTCATCCTTGCTGCCTTGCAGTCCATCACTACTCAGTTACTTCTAGCTGGGTGGAGACTGAGCAGTCCTTTGGATGAGGACAATAGCTCCTATAGGGCTTCTGCTTGAAAGGTGCTACCCCAGGGGGTTCTCACTTGATCACCTGTGGGTGACTGGGTCCTAAATGGAAGTCAAGGTTTGTACCCGATGCCTTTGCCATATGCATCATCAGGCCTCGTGGCTCTCTGATAATTTTGGGCACCTATTCTTCTGAATTAGTGGTCATGTCACTGCTTAAAGTTGGGATAATGATCCCCCCTTTCTCTTCCACACCCATATCCTCAGCATCCTGAAGAAGCTTACATAACAGGGACTGTGGGAAATTTAATTTCCTCAGGGTGCTTGATGTCTGCTCAGGCAAAGGCCAACATGTGGTAAGAAGGAAGGGAAAGGGAGGAGGGATACACCTGCCATTGTTAAATCTGCTGCACCCATAAAGAAAAGGGGGGCAATAAGTAAATGGATGTAGGTGAGTAATTGAACTGGACATGGGAGAGAGAGATAAGAGTTCTTCTCTGGGTAATATTACAAACTGAGCCAGAGGGGAACTATGCCATAATTGTATGGGTTTGTACTGCTCACCTTGGGTCAAAGGCAGGCATTAGGATTTCCTGAAGTATATTCAGAGCCAAAATATATTATGAACCTCAGTGAGATCACTAGTTCTCGAACAAGATTGTTCTGACTCTAAAAACAGAAGGAACAACACTGCCTTCTTCAGAACATCCTAAAAGTTAAACTTTGTTTTTTACCCATGTTTTATCTCCTGCTACAGCCCATGACTTATTGTATGGAATAGAAATTGTTTATGTATATTATATTAATGTTTATTTATATTTTATAATTTTACCTGTTGTAAATTTCCTAAGCATGGTGCTGCAGCAGAAAGGTGGGGTATGAATATTTTAAGTTAATAAATACCTCCACATTCTCATTTAGTTTTTATAAAGGCCCAATTGAATCCCAACCCTGGGCCCTTTATGCACACTTATGCGTGGCTGTCATCACGTTTAAAACAGATCCCTACTTCCTCCTTGTTTAGAATTAGCATGCTGGTGCAGTATGCATCTATGCCATGATTTCCTGGTATACACAGGAATCACCAACCCACCTTGTGAGCAAAAAGCCGCACCTAACCTCATATTGAAAACATTTTTTGACATGCCCAGGCGAAGGGATGTAGCTCAGTGACAGAGCATCTGCTTTGCATGCAGGAGGTCTGCAGTTCAATCCCTGGCATCTTCAAGTAGGACCAGAAGAGATCCCTGCCTGAAACCCCGGAGAGATGCTGCCAGTTAATGTAGACAGTATTGAGCTAGATGGACCAGTGATTTGACTCAGCATAAGGCAGCTTCACATGTCCCTCTGTTATATTTAAACCAAGCATGATAGTTGGTCCCATCTGTTTGAGAATGACCCTTGTAGCTGTCCTCTAGCTATGCTAATGAGGAATTATAGGCTCTTTTCAGCCTTTGTGGACAATGCCACAAAGACAGGGAACACAAATTATTTTTTTAGAAGTGCTTTTTTAAAATTTGAGACTATCTGTTATGGTTAGTGTGCTGCTGCCTTCACAAAAGGGCAGAACCCAGAGCTCCAATAGCAGGGACTGAACTGTACAAAGACGTCTTACTGTTTATCTGGGTAAGCTATTCAGCTTTCCCATTAGGGATGGCACTGAAAACCATATATGAATGAGTACTGCTGCCCCTTGGACTACAGATGTCTCTGCATGAAACATCAACAGCAAATGGCTTTGTGAATATCCTCAAACTGAGCATTCACTCCCATCAGGAACAGCAAACAGTTGCTGGGCTGCAAATCCATTCGGATCTTGCAGTGAAAGGAAGCTATTCTTCGGCGTGAAAGGCGTCAGGAAGAAGGGAATGTCAATATTAGCCTTTCTTTTATGAAAAGAATCTTCCTATGCAAATGTCAGGCGTATGCTTCAACCTGCCAAAGTCCTAGCACAGCACAATGGCCTTTATAGCTTGGGAGCCAATCCAAGAGACCTGCCTGCTGCAGTGGCAAGGGAACCCTGGAAATGAGGCGGCCATCGCATTTCCCTCACAGTTGTGTGTGTCACTGGTTTTGTGAAGATGAATGGGACTAAGGAGATGTGTGGAGGAAAATGAGGGGTGTAGGACTTGTAAGCGCACACGACAAGAATGAATTAGCGAGATCAAAATGTAATGGATCAGGAGGCCTGGAGTTGGTCCTTGATGGATGTAATTGTCATGGATGTAATTGTCCATGATTAAAAACCTCCCTAATGAGAGGCATACATTTTTTTAAAAAACCTGTAGTTAAGACTAGGGGGATGGTGCAGAATGCCTTAGATTTGACAGCCTGTGGTGTCTTTGGCTGTCTTGCAGAATTCACGTTTGAAATGGGTAGGAAGCCAAGCCTCTCTTGGCAAGCCACATCTCAGGTTCTCCTAAACCTGTAGTGCCAGAGGGACTACAGTATTTACAACACAGCTTGTCAATGGAAAAGAAACCCAACATGAAGTGAGAGAAGAGAGACTTTGTGCTGGCCATTATGCAATGGCTTTTTACACCTTCCTAGCTCGACTCTCCAGGCGCTGTTTCCAGAGAAAGAACTGTGAGGGGAGAGAGACTTTGTCATCATGGCGTCATTGGTTTTACCTGTGCTGCCCCACCACCAGCCCAAGGAACCTTCAGAAGGAAGGTTGCCATGGACATTATGGACATTATGTATATGTGTGCCTTTTAATGAACTCGATAGAGTGAAAGATTGTGAGTCATGGGGGTGGGGAGAGTGTTGTATGGATGTGGCAGTGCTTGATTTATTTTTTGGTTGCTATTTTCCTAATGTTGTTGGTGTTGCTTTATAGTTTATGAATGCTGCAGTACTTTGTGAATCCTATAATATGACATGTGCTGCAATTGTGCTGTTTAGCTTATTTTTTTATATGTTTTGTGAGGGTGCTTTATGGGTTGCCATTGCTTTACTGACGATTTGTGCTGTATTTGTGATGTTCTACTTTGCTCTACTTATTCATTGTTTGTAAGCTGCTTTGTGATTCGTTTGAATGGAAAGCAACATAGAAATATAATGAATCACATCAACCCAGGTAGGCAGAATGCATCTGTTGTCTACTATTAGCCATGATGGCTCTACTCTGCATCTATGGTTTGAGGTGACAATGCTTTCGAATACCACTTGCTGGAAACCACAGGAGGGCAGAGTGCTCTTGTGCTTGAATCCTGCTTGCTGGTTTCCCATAGGCGGAAATTGTGAGAACAAGATCCTGGACTAGATGAGCCATTGACCTGATCCAACAGGAACTTCTTATGTATCTCAGGGTCGTGGGTTTGAGCGCCATGTGGTTGAAATATTCCTGCATAGCAGGGAGTTGGGCTAGAATGATCCTGGTCCCTTCCAGCTCTACAATTCTATGATTCTCAGGATAGGTTTTGCAGGAAATGTGGTCACATGGAGAAGCCTTAGGCTTCAGGATGTGACACTAATAGATGCCTATGTTCTTGAACATTACAGATGAAGTGGTTGCTTAGCAGAATAAAATGCTTAGGATCAGATGATTTACAAGACCCTGTATTTTATCTCAGTAGTAAATACCTAATTCAGGGATGGGCTCTCCAGATGTTGTTGGACTCCATCAGCCCCAGTCAGCATGGCCAATGGTCAGGGATGGATGGGAGTTGTGGGCCAGCAACATCTGGAAGACCACAGGTTCCCTGTCCCTGACCTAATTGATCACAGGTGTTGTTTGTTGTTAGAGAAGAGTTGAGATGCTTAAATGAATAACCCAGCATTTTCCAGCAGCAGCAGCAGCATTGTCTGTGCTCAAGGCATGAAAGCACACAGCAGACAACTGATCCCACAGTGATGTGTGGCCACTGTTTAGGAACAAATAGATAATAAACAATAAAGGGAGCAGACATCCTAGCATTTTCCTCTTTTGGCTTATCAGTGTATTTGTTAACAGTTTTCACTGCTCACCGAATTGGATAAACTTGTAACAATCTCCTGAAACTAATTAAGAAACAGCTTAACCCAATTCAGAGTATTTTAATGGGCTTTCTACTGCATGCATATGTTTCCAACTCCAAGCTCAGTGCAGGATATTCCAATGAAGATGAAATATTGTGCAGCTATAACTAGCAGACCCCAAGTTTAGCACATTGTTTTTCAGAGGGAGAGAATGACAGCTCAGATCAGTCTTGCCTGCCAGCCCTCTTTGTGGGCAAAAGCCTTTGGTGAAAGCTGATGATGTCCATCCCCAGTGATGTTACTGAAGTAACTGAGTGGCATATATTCAGGAGTTAACTTGCAACCACTGAAAAAGAAATTCTGTCTCTAACGTCTGGTGAGATAGGCCTAAAATAAATCTTCAAATACAAAGAAAAGAAGCCACCCTATTTGCATGTTTTTGCATAATTTTGCTGGAGTTGCTCACAGAGTACACTTTCCTCTCGCAGTAGGAGCAGTATCCAGGTTCTCTTTGATCAGAGTCTTCAGATTGTCAATAAAGCACAGCATCAAGGCACAAGTGCCGAGGGACTTGTGGCACAGAGGAACACCCGCCCTTGAATAAATCTTGCTTCCCAGATCCCCTGCAAAGAGCTCACAGCTGCAATTTGGTGGAAAAATATGTTGCACCACCTGTTTTTCCATAGCCTGCACCTGCCACAAACAGCATGCATTGCACCAGACATTAAAGACCATGGCTGTAAGCTTCTGACCTTCCCAATAATTCAGTCCTCACATCCCCTCCAGCTTTCAACTGAGGAGAATAAGCTAGTCTTACACTGTGGGAACAAGGAGGCGGGGTTTGACTGTGATAATGAAAAAGCCAAATGTAACTTCTAAAGGAGCTGGCAGCAGGCTGCACTTCAAAATGTGTTTCCTTACCCTCCAAGAAGCATAAGCAATACATGAGCATATTTCCATTGCACACAGCTTCTTATTCCCCCAATGCTTGTTGTTTTCAGATTTTACTGTTTAATTTTTTATTAAAATTTCTTCAACCTACAACATCAAGACGATCCTTTAATCCCTACTCCCCTTAACACATATATGCATATAGTCTTTCATATCTTGCACATAAAATCACATGCACATTTTTAACAACAAGCTGTCAGCTATAATTCCAGTGGCAATTCAGTGACTGCACATTCGAGGGTTCATGTCTCACGTTATTTTAGGTGCATGAGCAGTGCTTTTTTTTCTTAAAAAAGAGGTGCCAGAACTCACCATTTACACCTCCCTTATTCTCTTATAATGGCAATGGCACCCACCTGAGACGTGCCAGAACCGAGTTCCAGTGAGTTCCAGCTGGAAAAGATCCCTCTGCATGAGGCAGGGAAGAAGCACCCACCCACTGACATCTCCATCTACCTCAAAAGTTGTCTTTCTGCCCAGTTCTCTGGGTTTTCTGGGGTCCCATGCACCTCCTAAATGTTAGGGGGAAGGACCAGTGGCAAGTAGTACACAGTCCCAGTCAGGCAGAAATCAAGATCTGGAGCAGCAAGCAAAGATCAGAGGAGCTAGAGGCAGGTAAGTAAGTTACCTCACATAGAATTGTTGTGGGGATAAAGTGGGGGGCATGCACATGGCCCCGAGCCCTTTGGAGAAAGGATGGGACAATATAGGTCAGAGGTGGCTAAACCTTACGATATTCCAGATGTTAATATTCCAGATGTTAATAATTATGTTAATAATAATAAAATAATATAATAATAAATTTTTATTTATACCTCGCCCTTCCTGGTTCAGGAAACCGGGCTCAGGGCGGCTAACAACAAATTTAAAACACTTAATTGATGCTACCAAAAAAAAAAACACAACAGCATAAAATACGATATAAAACGTAAATAACAATAAAATCAAAAATCAATTTAGGGGGGAAATCCATCCAGTAAACATCAGGTGATCACCAGGGCTAGCTGGCTAATTTAGTCCCACTTGGGCCAGCGAGGAGACCAGGGGAGAACCAGCTGTGGGATCCCAGAGCGGGCAATCTTCACAAAAAGGGGAGGGGGGAAGGAAGGAAGGGGAACAAAAGATCAGGCCAGGTTCAAATTGAAAGCCAGGCGGAATAGTTCTGTCTTACAGGCCCTGCGGAAGGAAGTTAAATATTGCAGGGCCCTGGTCTTATGGGACAGAGCATTCCACCAGGTCGGAGCCATCACTGAGAAGGCCCTGGCGGAGGATAATCTAACTTCCTTATGGCCCAGGACCTCTAAACTATGATTATTCATGGACCTTAAGGTCCTCTGTGGGGCATACCAGGAGAGGCGGTCCCGTAATGATGGACTCCATCTCCCATCAACTCCAGTCACCGTGGCCAACTGTCAGGGATGATATGAGCTGTAACCCAGCAACTTTTGGTGGGCCACAGGTTGGCTGCCCTTGGCTCTTACAATAATAAACTTTCAATTGTGAAGAGAAAGCACAGTTGAGAGATGGCTCAGAATCCACACAAAGTGCCAGGTTATTATGGCTAGTTATGTTAATGGTGTGGTTCTAAGTAGACCCTCGTGAGCATTTTTACAGTAACCTCGCTCCTCTCCCTGGGGGACATTTTATTCCCTCAGAAGTGCCACATAGCAGGCTTGGAGATTTAATGCTGTGCAATCAATGGCAGGACTGGGAGCAAATGGATTCCGTTGAGAAAGCAGGAGATGTTGTCTCAGTTAATAAGATAACAATTTAACATCTTTCCCTCCCTGCTTTTTCCTTACTCCCCACTTTAAACAGACTACCAAATATTCAGAGTTGCCTTTAAGTAATTTAGTGGAAAGGCTGCTATGATTTCAAATTCCCATCTGCCCTGCTTCCCATCCAGCGATGTTTCTTGTCACCAGCTAACAGCATTTAAAATATTTACAGCCCTGCCTTTGCCCTGGGGAAGGATCCAAATAAATCATGTTTGCCGACCATAAATCAAAAATTAATCTCCCGAAAGCGCGATGCCTGTCCGATCCCTCAAATAACAAGCAGCAGAATTTATCAAGTAAATTGGTGCTGGTGTCTCACTGGTGCCACTGTGGGGTGTAATGGATGGGGCGAAAGGGCAGGCGGCACAGCCAAACCAAGGTGCTTAGACGGTAAGAGAAAAATGGACAGGCATGGAAATTAGCATCATTAAAATGCCACCTTACATCTTTGCCAGCGTAACCTTCATTCATCTCCCTCCTTTCAGGGAGTCGTTTTTCACCATTCTCCATTCCCATTCCCGATCCTTCCTCTTTGAAATATTTGTCTTTACTTTGGTTTAAAGGACAGCAGCTCAGCAAACAAAAAAATTCTCTCTGTCCTATATGTTAACGACCATTTTCAATATGCATTGTTGAGAAGGGGAGAAACTACGCCAGCTCAGTGGGATGTGTTTCAAAATTCTTTCAGTCAGGCCAATCTCAGTGCATTGTGGGACTTGTAGTTCCAGCCTCGTTTCCTTCTCCTAAGTCTTCTCCTAAACCAGTTCCCGGCATGTAGTGTGTCAACTCAGCAAGTGTGCCCAAGTTGAAAAGGTGTTTGTGTGTGTGATATATAAAATTAAAATAGTTCCTGATACAACATGCCCACTTAAAACTACTCTTCTCCACAGAAGGTGTGGAATGTGTTGTGATTGTTTTCCCACTGGATATGGACATCCAACATGTTGGTGACTGGAAATCACATATATAAATATCAGACTTCATCAGCTTTGTGCTGACAGTTTTTGTTTCCTTTTACTATAATTTCCATCAGCCCCATCCAGCATGTCCAATGGCCAGGGAAATGGTAGTCCAATACATCTCAGGGCACCAGGTTGCCAAAACCATACCAGACCTGCTTAGCTTTGCAAATGTGCTTGTAGTTTTATTGCTGCACGACTAGGAGCCTAGGCTGCTCTGGCTAACCTTTCTGCCAATTTTGATGTTCAGGCTAGAAATGTTGATTTGAAAGCCATATGCAGAATACAGGAGGGGTGGGGGCTTTACTTTGCAGTCTGTCTGTAATGAGCCTATATGTTTCCAGATACAGCCTCTGTCCCAGGTGGACCATGAGACAGCCTGATGTACTAACAGGTACTTAGTGATAATAGCTCCTGTGATATTAAGATCATCAGCCATTATGATCCATGCAACTGGCCTCATATACAATGCAGGGCTAACCAGAGGGAGACATCTGCCAGATTTTTGCGGCAAGTTGTCATTTAGGTGGTCCCCAATAAAAATCTGCATCTAGTCACTCCGGAGTTAGCACAAGAATCTGAGTCCGCCTCTGCATGCTGCTTATTGGAATGGGTGATGAAGCACAGGAGAGGTGTAGGCATGGGCAGTTCTTTTACAGTACTTGACCTAACGATAATCACTGCCTTGAACTAGGATTATTAGTCTTTCACTTCGCTGAGTGTCTTGATAGACTCACACAGAGCAACTCTTGACAGTACGACCCTGCTCTGTCAGTCAGCGTAGGCCGGTTTATAAGCCTGATGAAGCCATTTGATTGAGCCAGCCAGCATTTCCCTTTAATCATTCTGCCTTGGGTACTATTAGTAAAAAGAAAGTAAAAAGTCCAGATTTAAAGGACTTTAAAGTTCACTAATAGGGTGGGTTTGTGTTCTACTTTAAGAAGTTCTCTTTTGGAAGTGCTGCCAGAAAACAATTCTCCATGTGAAGGAGTCCTCTATCTGAAAGGCTACCTGGTCCAAGTTTTGGTTTAAAGAAAGAAAATCAACCCATAACACATGCCTGCAGGCTTGTTTTTATACAAACTGAAATGCAAATAACTAAATTAGTTGTAATTCATATCTTTAATTTGTCTGATGGTGGTTTGTGTGTGAACATACTTATTGCAGAGTAAGGGCATCCTGTTTTGATTTAGCTTAATAGTCTGAAAGCATTGGCTATAATTAACATAAAAGGGAGTCTTCATTGAAGCTGCCGGGTTCTGGCAGTCTTTGCCGTTCTTTCTAGCTATACAGCTCTCAAAATGTTAAGATCTGTCAATATCCGAACAAAGAGTCCCTTTCAGGCTGGATGGCACTGTGGGTCAATTTGTTTGCATACATGTGGAGCCGAACCATATACCCCCATTTTTGCAAGGAGAAAAATCCCAATTCTGCACAATTTAGGCAAATTTGCAGAAATGAGTTAACAGTTTATCCTAGTTGCTATGTGTAGGGTGTTTGCAATGTTAAATAAGTTGGCATTGATCCTGGGAACAAAAGGAAAGGAAGAATGAAAAAAAAAATCATGTTGAGAGCTCATGTATATATAAGAAACAGGCAGAAAGACCAGAGAGCAGGGATTTCCAGTTTGTGTGCCAGCACACATTACTGTGTCATCATGACAGAGTGTGCTTTCAAAATGAAGCTGGATACATTACCACCCTCTATCCATTGGAGTGAAAGGCATTGTGGATCACTGGCTACCCCTTCCCTCCATTTTATAACTAGTCATTACTTCCAGGAGGGAGCAGGGATATCATGGGATCCCCCAGTGCACCCTATACTACATTTGAGAAGTTGAGTAGAGGGATACAAGGAACTTCAAAATTTCCCTTCAAACAGGGCCAACTTTGTGGACCAACTTTGACAGGTGTCATCTTACATCATTGGGACACCATCAGCTGCAAAGGGGCTCACTCCCACCACTGACCGGTTGACCCTAGGTAGCAGAAGCTTTAGGTACACTGGAAGCAGTAAGTAGCAGAGCAGAAAGGGAATGCAAGGGAATGCTCTTTAAGAACCAGAATGGTGATGGCAACTGTCGGAGCACTAGGGTAATTGATGGGCCCTACTCCCGTGGCAAATGAAATAATTGGTAGTGTCATGGGTTTGCAGGGGGCAAGGATCCTCCAAACTTCCTGGGTGCCAGGTTCTCCCCATAATTTCTGAAATTAGTAAATGTAGGTTTTGAAGTCAAGTCAGCTTTCTCAGGAGTAAGTGCCTGGAACCCCTGGAATCTCACACCACTTGGAGACTGGAGTGGCATGGAACAATATTAATGTAGAGGAAAGATGAGGCCAACTTACTATTCTATGACTGTTAGCTGATCCCAATAAATTTGGTATTAAGCTATGTACTTACACGTAGCATAGTATTTACAAATATAAACATAAAGAGCTTATACTGAATCAGATCACTGATCCATATAACCAGAATAGGATTGTCTACTCTGAGAGGCTGTGGATCTCCAAAGTCTTAGGCAGCAGTCCCTTTTGAGCTCTGCTACCCAACATCCTTTTGACTGGAGAAGCAAGGGATTGAACCTGGATGCAAATGAAAAGCAAGTGCTCTACCAGTGAGCTACACAGCTAATTGGAATTGCCTTCCAAGTCATATGGTACATGGGGTATATCATATTTAATTACTTCCTGTATGATATATTGAGCCACCATTGTGTTTCCACAGAAAAATGACTCAGATATCCATTTTTAGCAGACTGAACTAGATGGAGGTGGCCTTTTGCAATGGCACTGAGCAGAACTTTGCCCTATGATTTTCAGAGACGTACTTACTGTAATGAAGGCAAACAATGACAATAAGTTGTTCACTTCAGATAAAGAAAAGCTTGTACATAAACAAAACCTATGCTTAATAGCAGCATGAAGTGCAGTGATGCGGGGAAATGGAACAACAATATTATTGTAATGAGCCTATTTTTAAATTTTTCAAATCTTCAACCTGCAGAGTTTTTCCTTCGATTCTAGTCTCATTCTAATACCAACTCTCTGGGAAATGCCAATGTCTTCTTGGGTAATGTTGCTTAGGAGCTGATTTCCCAAAGAAAGAATGACCTGAGGAAGGAGAAGCAAGAAAAATGGATGAAATGGGTTTGCAATTCCTGAGTTTGTCAGAAAGCAAAGAGCTAAAATTGGTGCCTGCTGCCTGACATGCAGAAAGGATCCCGAGGCTGCAGCACAATTACTCTTCAAAATACATTGATGTTTATCCTGTAGCAATCTTCTATAATTACTCTGACAGTACCTGACAGCCCCATGCCATCAGCTGAAGGAACAAAGTCAGAGCCAGCTGATGTGTTGATGTTGCTGGATTGCTGCTGTCTGCTTGATTCTGCCCCCCTCCCCATCTAAAAGCATCTTTCTACAAATTTCTAATTTGTTTACTACTTCTTTTTTGGTGGTGAGTCTGAGCCGAGATTTTGATTTTATTTCTTTTGGCATGTGGATTTGGAGTTTGAATAAGGAACTAGATGTCACATACAAGGGTGGGATTTTTCTGCTTTCACTTTTGCTCATATACTATGGAATATAATTATCACGCAGACCTGGGGAGATCTTGTTCCAGTTGAATTTCCACTTTGCCAAGTGCCCAGCACTTCCTGATGTGTGAAATGTACAGGAGCATTCATATCCTTGTTATCTGCGAGAATTTTGCAGCAATCCAAGTTTTTAGTGTGTTGAGAACATGATGGTGCATGTTCAGAGCAATAATTCCAGTGTGAAGTAGCGGACAGACTTCTGGATTGACTGGGGACTTCTCAAGAGACCTTGTTCAACTCCCCACTCCATGACATTAATCATAGAATCATAGAGTTGGAAGAGACCACAAGGGCCATCGAGTCCAACCCCCTGCCAAGCAGGAAACACCATCAGAGCACTCCTGACATATGGTTGTCAAGCCTCTGCTTAAAGACCTCCAAAGAAGGAGACTCCACCACACTCCTTGGCAGCAAATTCCACTGTCGAACAGCTCTTACTGTCAGGAAGTTCTTCCTAATGTTTAGGTGGAATCTTCTTTCTTGTAGTTTGGATCCATTGCTCCGTGTCCGCTTCTCTGGAGCAGCAGAAAACAACCTTTCTCCCTCCTCTATGTGACATCCTTTTATATATTTGAACATGGCTATCATATCACCCCTTAACCTCCTCTTCTCCAGGCTAAACATGCCCAGCTCCCTTAGCCGTTCCTCATAAGGCATCGTTTCCAGGCCTTTGACCATTTTGGTTGCCCTCCTCTGGACACGTTCCAGTTTGTCAGTGTCCTTCTTGAACTGTGGTGCCCAGAACTGGACACAGTACTCCAGGTGAGGTCTGACCAGAGCAGAATACAGTGGCACTATTACTTCCCTTGATCTAGATGCTATACTCCTATTGATGCAGCCCAGAATTGCATTGGCTTTTTTAGCTGCCGCGTCACACTGTTGGCTCATGTCAAGTTTGTGGTCAACCAAGACTCCTAGATCCTTTTCACATGTACTGCTCTCAAGCCAGGTGTCCCCCATCTTGTATTTGTGCCTCTCATTTTTTTGCCCAAGTGCAATACTTTACATTTCTCCCTGTTAAAATTCATCTTGTTTGTTTTGGCCCAGTTCTCTAATCTGTCAAGGTCGTTTTGAAGTGTGATCCTGTCCTCTGGGGTGTTAGTCACCCCTCCCAGTTTGGTGTCATCTGCAAATTTGATCAGGATGCCCTTGAGTCCATCATCCAAGTCGTTGATAAAGATGTTGAATAAGACCGGGCCCAAGACAGAACCCTGTGGCACCCCACTAGTCACTCTTCTCCAGGATGAAGAGGAACCATTGATGAACACCCTTTGGGTTCGGTCAGTCAGCCAGTTACAAATCCACTGAGTGGTAGCATAGTCAAGACCGCATTTTACCAGCTTCTTTACAAGAATATCATGGGGCACCTTGTCAAATGCCTTGCTGAAATCAAGGTAGGCTACATCCACTGCATTCCCTTCATCTACCAGGCTTGTAATTCTGTCAAAAACGAGATCAGGTTAGTCTGACATGACTTATTTTTCAGAAATCCATGCTGACTATTGGTGATCACAGCATTCCTTTCTAGGTGCTCACAGACTGTTTGCTTAATGATCTGCTTCAGAATCTTCCCTGGTATTGATGTCAGACTGACTGGGCGGTAATTATTTGGGTCCTCTCTTTCCCCCTTTTTGAAAATAGGGACAACATTTGCCCTCCTCCAGTCTGCCGGGACTTCGCCTGTTCTCCAGGAATTCTCAAAGATGACTGCCAGTGGTTCTGAGATCACATCTGCCAGTTCTTTTAATACTCTTGGATGCAGTTCGTCTGGCCCTGGAGACTTGAATACATCTAAACTAGCCAAGTATTCTTGTACTATCTCCTTAGTTATTCTGGGCTGTGTTTCCTTTGCTGAATCATTTGCTCCAAATTCTTCAGGTCGGGCATTGTTTTCTTTATCGGAGAAGACTGAGGCAAAGAAGGCATTGAGGAGTTCAGCCCTTACTGTGTCCCCTGTTTGCATTTCACCATCTTCTCCTCTGAGTGACCCCACTGTTTCTTTGTTCTTCCTTTTGCTACGAACATACCCATAAAAGCCTTTTTTGTTGCTTTTAACCTCTCTAGCAAGCCTGAGTTCATTCTGTGCTTTAGCTTTTCTGACTTTGTGTCTACACGTGCTGGCTATTCGTTTGAATTCCTCTTTGGTGGTTTCCCCACATTAAGAAAGTGCCCTTGCACATGTTGCTATATTTCAGCCTAAGCTACATCACAGGGCTGTTATGAGCATAAAGGGGATAGCCCTGGGTGTGCTGCCTATCCTTGGAAGAAAGGTGGAATGCAAATGTGTTGGTTTTTTTGTTTTTTTTAAGTACTGACATATTTTATTTCCAATAATTTGACCCTACATTATGTAGTGAATTGCCAATTGTTTTTCAAACTATGCATCAAAACTTGGTTAACTGCTAGAAGAACTGATCATGCACATTTTGAACAGTGGCTATTTGAATCCAGATTCAGGCTTGAATTCTGAATCTGTATACATTATGGGGCCACTCCGGTGAAGTCCAGCTTCCACAGCCAAAGCTGGTGTCTATCGGCTCAGCTCCAGTGAAGTTTACAAATCTAGGTCAGTAAAAATCAGCTAAGCATCAGTCCCTCTTTCTCCCTCCTCTTGCAATTTTAAATGCATCGAATCTGTGCATGTGAACCATGCTGTGCAATGACATGACTGCTTGCTATGCTTGTCAAATGTCACCTACACTATTTTTTTTTTAAAAAAACCATCCATACTCTATATTCAATGACACTAACAAATCTGCTGAAAGGAAACAAGTGGGCTGAATTGTTAGAGTTGTATGCAGGGCAGGTACACCAGGTAAGTGCAGGGTAGGCAGAGATAGTCTGTAAGAAGCATCTCCCTTCATTAGGTTGACATTCATTTCCACCTCTTTCTCGCACATAGGGGCTAAAGTGCAAATGTATTACGTGCCCCAGCCTCAGGTTTCCCTTCTGTATCCAAGGTGATTTGAGGAGTGTGATATTTTCAATTTTCTTCTTTGTTCTCCAAAGCTCCCTTCCTTTGCTGAGTGGAGTTGATGTCAGTTTCCTTTGCTTCCTTTTGTCACCTTCGTCTTCTTCATCTTCCTCACTTGCCATTGCCCTTTCCCTTCTCCAAATAACTTTGTATTGCTTTCATGGTGCCAGCCGGATGCTCCATCACTTTAGATAACCCTGGCTTACAGGCAATTTTAACTTTGTACAGGAGGCTGGTTCCTACACACATCCACACAGCCCTCTCGATCCTCTACCCAGGCAAGCAAAATGCAATAGGAGAGTTCAAGGACACATTCCAGCTAGGCCAAATCACCCAAGGATGGTGCAAAACAGGGCTGGTGAAGGGGCTGGACTGGGAAGAGAGGATGGTAGGTGGTTTGGGAAGGGGAACAGGTAAATAGACTTGGATGGCTGCCTTTCACCCCTGGTTCTGAGGTTCCCCACTGCTGCTCCATTGTCATGTTTCTTCAGTGTCCATGCTGAGCAAGAGGCTGGGGCTGGGCAGGGTACCAGTGAAGTCAGGCTGAACAGCTGCACGGTCAGAGCCAGCCCAACACTCCCACCTGTGCACTCATGCTATTCTAACCTCATTAGCATCCCAAGCCCATCCAGGTAAGCTGCAGCAACACTGATGTTGAGAAGGCAGCTCTATGGCCCCCACCCCACAGGCCACTATTTCATATATATAGTATCTTATTGCCTATTCATATATTTTCAATATCTGTCACCTTTCCATAATTTAGTGTGATTTAGGGGCTTGCATGCATGAGCCATATTGAGGGTTGTCCCTACCATCAGGCAGAGTGTGGCAAGCACCTCAGGTAGCATTCTACTCTGTTGCAGGACAGAAATGTGTTTGCATGTCCTGCACTCACTAAACTAGCCTGCTGCCCGCTGGTGCCTGCAGGACATTATCTCATTGCTAGTGTTCAGCTGCCAGTCTAGTCAGCTTTTGTATGTGGAATGGAGGTGGGGGGAGGGTCTTATTATTTGTCTCAGATAGCAAAATATCCCGGGCTGGCCCTGGTCATATATTTTTTTGGGGGGGGGGGGTTGGAAGTGCCGTATATATTTTGAAAGCCCAACTACCTGATGTTTCATGCTCTCTCATGTCTCATTTGGTGGGTTAAGTTTTCTGAAAGAGCAGTTTGCCACAATTTGTCCTGTCAGCCTTCAGGGGGAATAGCAGTAGCTAATTTCAAGCAGCCCTGAGGATTTCTCAGCAAAGAAGGTAGAGGCCCTGGGACTCATCTATACAGCAAAATGAATTCAAATGAAGTGCAAATGTGAATTTAAAACTTAAGTAAACGCCTGCATGTTAAAACTTTAATCTCTGAATAATAATATTTGTCTTCTGGGAAGCAGAGTTAAGAAGGCAACAGAAAGAGACACTTGATTTCACTTGTGTGAGCCCAGAGAGATTTCGTCTGGGTTGTGAAATTGGGTTAAATTGACATGGAACATCTCGCTATACAGGCAGACAATTCTTCCTTCATTCTCACAGGACGTACTGGACATAGGCCTTAGGTGGTTTACTTTCCACATGCAGCATGACAACTCAAGCTGCTTTGAGTGTCTCATGTGATGTTTGTGGGTACAGAAGAATGTTGCTAATGTGGGACAGAAAGCAGAAGTGAACCATTCTGCAATCAGATCTACATTTTAGCTAATGTAGGGCTTGCCTGCATTCACATTCTAGAAATAAGGAAAGCATACCCCCCCCAATTGTCTTGTTTTAAATGGGACATCCATAAACACAGAAGCCAATCCCAGCTTCGGTTTGCATCCTAGAATGTCCCAGTTTTCGGAGAGCTCTGGTGCTCCAGACCAAAAGAAGCTCACTCTGGTGTGAGTCAGCACTGGAGCGCCAGACCGGAAGGTGCTCTGGTATGGCCCTGCTAAATTAGCAACAGAGCGCCTTCCGTTCCCGTGCTGTGACCCTTGTCAGCAGGGCACGCCAAAGTGCCAAGGGTCCAGGGCTCTGGCCAACCCTGCAGGGTTTGAAGGAAAACAAATATGAATTGGCCCCACCCCATAGTTTGACTAATCACACCTAGGAGTGGCTAAGAGCTAGATGGATTCATAGATCTTTTTAAAAAAGTATAGACTCACAGACACTGGTCAGCTTCCATTTTGACTTTAAATGTTCATTTTTGAATTCTAAGAAGTACACAGAGGCAAGAAGTGGACAGGGAGCGTGCCAGCCCATAATGGTGCCCAGCTGAGAGGTGCTGGAACTGTGCTACAGCGCACTCTAGCTGAAAAAAAGCACTGCTGGTATTATTATTTTTTAAATCAAAACAATCTCTCTAAACTTGCAGTTAATTTTGGCCCAGTAAGGCATATTGTCTTGTTTGCTTTGACTGCTGGAGATGAAAGTGGGATTAGGAGCTATGGGACTTTGAGCTTCATGTACTCTAGATACAAAGGAATACAGAGATGTTGACAGATACTCTCCCTGGCAAGTGGGTCATGTGGTGTTGCAGGATATAAAGCAATCAACTGTACAAGATGTAATGGGGTCCTCACCAGCCAAAGAAACCCAGCAGCTTTTATATTAGCTATTCCATCAATTGTTCCAAGTTTGGGGCTTGCTTCTTTGCCGAAGAAGGGGGAGAGATAAAATGCAAACTGAAGGGACAATGTCTTACGGTCTCAACACCTACAGTGAAAGTTAGCAAGTGAGCTCAGTCCCAAGATCAAACTGGCAATTGGCTTAAGGCTATCACACGCCTCTTTGATACACAGCACATTTCTCACACTAAGCAGGGCCAGATCTTGTCACTGCTAGTCAGAGAAACCTAGAGTGATGGAGCAAGTAGCTGTGGGTTTAATCACCAGCGGAAGTTGTTCCTGCCGGGCTGGGACTGAGACTACTAGTACCTCCCAGAGGTATAGTAAGAAAAGACACCGGTAGTGCAAGGAATCTTTGGCGAAAGTAATGTGTCACACACACCCAACAGCTGTTATTAATACTGTTTTATCAACTAAACCCTTGCCGAACGCTACCCAACCGCTTTGCTAGATTGGAGGTTTATTAATAGTAAGTGAAGATGCTACTTTGGTTGCAGTACAGCCTTCGCAGAATCAGGTGTCTGGCTGACAATAAGCTGTTCTGCACCTACTTGTTTGTGCTGTCAGGTTACTGTCTCGGGCATAACTAAAATAACACAGCAAACTATTCTTTGATCTGTGCTCTTCTTCTACAAAGACAAGAGAGCACAGAAGACTGCACATTGGGTGCAATCTAGAAGCACCCAGGAGCGCAAGAAATGTCATAGAGCCCATGTGCTCTCATAATACTAGAACTTCAGAGCATTCCGTGAAGCTGAATGTGGGAAGATTCACAACAGACAAAAGAAAGTACTTCTTCACACACTACTAAACTTGGAATCCACTCCCATGAGAGGTAGCAATGGCCACCAACTTGGATGGCTTTAAAACAGGATTAGACCAGTTCATGGAAGATGATGGCTATTAGCCACAGTAGCTATGCTCTCTTGTCATTGTTGGAGGCAATGTGTCTCTGAATACCAGTCATCGGGAACGGAAGGAGGGGAAGCGTCTGTTGCACTCAGGTTCTTTATCTGCTACTCTTATCTGCTATTCTAGGGTTGCCATATCTTGAAGAGCAAAAAAGAGGACAGCCAGAGCCACTGCCAGCCCAAGCCAAGGAAAAAGGGGTGTGTGCCTCTTTCCCAAGCTTGGGCTGGCAGCAGTTGTGGTGTGAAGAGCAGCCTGAGCCCAAACCCGAAAAACCCAGACATTTCTTTTAAAATTTAAAAATCTGCCCAGATTGGCATGTTGGCTCCCCAAAAGAGGACATGTCCTGGTTTTCCTGGGGATATGGCAACCCTAGCTATTCTTTATCTGCTAGTCTAACAATATACCAGTAATCTGACTATCACAAATCCTTCCCACATCCCAGCCTACAGCCTTCTTAGAATGTTCTTTTTGCAGTTGTGTAAGGACGTGGTATTTCTAGGAATGAGTTGAATTTATCACGGTGAAACTACGTGAGTAATACGGTCCATGTGTGTATTGTGGAGCAGACCTTGTATGCTGCTTTGTGTGCGTGGCTGGCGAAGGCCTCTGAGATTACGCATGCATATTTGACACATCCTTCTGTTTTGCAAAGCTGTGAGATAGCTACGTGAATCCCACTCTTCAGAGCTCCAACCCACAAAGAAAGAAACAGCACGCTAAACCAGCAAATATGATAAATGTTGTGTACTACTATCATCACACCTTATAGATGCTGCTCGTGGTTGGAGAATTAACAGAACAACTCTGGTTTTATGCAGTGTTGCATTGCCAGTGTGCGTAATTAAGCTTCTTGACAGGCAACCCCCCCCCCCCCCCGTTCAGTAAGTGGAATGCTTATTTCACAGCGCTGCTTTTGGAGCTGCTGTGAACTTTCAGGCAAAGAAAACCATTGTGAAGGAAATGCAGCTGTTTTAGCAGTAGGTGCAGGAAGTGTGCCTGGGGGTTGGCAATGCAACGTTGTGTAGAGATAACGCTGGCTCAAAGAAGCTCTTCTACCAATGGCAGCATGCAAAAGCTGCTGTAAAATTCCTGTAATGCACAATAACTGTGCATTTTCTAGCTTCACTTGTAATTTGACTGTTGTGGCTATGAGAAATGATCTCTGATGGCTAGAATGGTTAAAAATGGGGGGGGGGGAGAGAGAGATTGTCATTATACTTCTATTCCAAAGGGATATTCAGATGACATAGGAACAGAGGAAGCTGCCTTCCTAGCCCATCTAGCTCAGTTTTATCTATATTGGCTGACAGTGGCTCTCGAGGGTCTCAGGCAGCAGGTATCTTCCACACGTATGTGGAGATGCAAGGGATTAAAACTGGGGCCTTCTACATGCAAGGCAGGGCTCTACCACTACCCTACAGCCCTTCCTTCGGGCAGCTTCCTTCTTAGCTGGAAGCTGCAGCACACAACCAGCAATGTGGTATGTATCCTGTGGAAAATATTGGCTTTAATACCAAATAATAATAACATTGGGACATATCTGCCTCTTCTAAAAGCAGCAGGCCAACCATCTAGTTGATGTGATCTGCTGTCACCCCACCCTGTTGTCCATCAGGTCAGGTCAGACTGGGCTGGAGCATCCTGTCTACTGGAAGGACTGGAGGTAACAAAAGTTCATTCTTTACCACCACTAGTTTAAAGGTAAAGGTAAAGGGACCCCTGACCATTAGGTCCAGTCGTGACTGACTCTGGGGTTGTGGTGCTCATCTCGCTTTATTGGCCGAGGGAGCTGGCGTTTGTCCGCAGACAGCTTCTGGGTCATGTGGCCAGCATGACTAAGCTGCTTCTGGCGAACCAGAGCAGCACACGGACACACCGTTTACCTTCCCGCCAGAGGGGTACCTATTTATCTACTTGCACTTTGATGTGCTTTCGAGCTGCTAGGTTGGCAGGAGCTGGGACCGAACAACGGGAGCTCACCCCATTGCGGGGATTCGAACCGCCGACCTTCTGATCGGCAAGTCCTAGGCTCTGTGGTTTAACCCACAGCGCCACCCGCGTCCCACACCACTAGTTTAGGCATGCATATCCATCAGTGGTTAACTGCAATTTCAAGGAATTGCTTTTTTCAATGCACAAATGGGCCATCACAGATAAAACACCATAGAAGGAACTTCTGTATTACGTAACATCACCTCAAAAGCAATGATTTGTCAGTGGAGTCGATTCACATATACAGCAGCCAGCCAGCCATCAAGTGCTGGATATTCATGTCTTAACCAGACCCCCCAGAAAGGCCCTGCTCTTTGATCTTCTGTCTCCAATTCCATTCCTGTCCCTACTTATAAAGAGCCAGATTTGGAGAAATTAAGTGTGGTCAGGCTATGCATTCCAATGAAAGAAACAGGCTGTCTCTATGGAAGTGAATGACGCCTTATTAAATATCAGGCCTGCGGAATGGAGATGAACATTTATTACTTTGGGGGCAAATAAATACAACCAATTCAGATTAATACAAATGAAACAGTAGCCTCCCCTGGAGCATTAACATGATGGGCTTGTTTTTATTACTAGTCCTTTTATTCCCTTCCCCAGCAGCCTCTAAAAGCAGGGAGGGGGGAAAAAAACACTTTGAAGGAAAAAAGCTGTTCCTGCATTTTCTGCCTGGCGACATGGCTATTTCTGCATTGTCACAAAAAACAAGCACTTGCCTTAAAAGAAAATGGTGGTGGGGAGAATGCCGAATGATTAGTTACTGTTAATTAAGGAATTAAAAGGCTTTGTTGTTGCATTTTTCAGACATGGATAAGACAAGGCACACATCTGTTGCATCTGACTTTGTAACAGGGGAAGCAGGAAGATAAGGGAGAAGATAAAGCTATATAATGCAAATGGTATAAAGAAAGCCATTCTCAGGCTGGATTTGCATATCATGCCTGGAAATCTGATGAACAGTCGCAAAATGGTGGTATGTGCTTAACCCTTCCCTCCCTTGGAGTTCCCTTCCCCAGCTGCTTTTCCTCATGAAGAATAGTAAATAATAATAATAATAATAATAATAATAATAATAACAGCAGCTTGGGTGGTGGGTGAGAAGAAGTGGTTGCAGAGGGGAAGTGCTGGGTGGGGGGACATTAAATGTTTAGCAAAGCTTCACACCCACCACCTGTCTGTTTCAAATACAGTATACCTTTTCCCTTCTACTTTGCAGCTGCTTGGTTGAGACCCCAGTTCCCATAACTGAGGCTGCAATCAGGTAGCATTTTGTTTCTTTACCTAATTTTTTTTACCTTTTAGACATAAAGCTACTTCTGGAAATCTAGTGGAATCTAGTGGCAGTTTCGTGCTATTCTCCCTGTTTATTGTTTGCAGAAAAGAAACAATTTGCAACTTTTGTAACTCAGAAAAACATTGGAGATTTTGCATTGTAATTTCACAACATAAAATTCGGGTCACTATCCTGGCATACCCATTCTTAAGGAAATCAGCCCTGAGTGCTCACTGGAAGGACAGATCCTGAAGCTGAGGCTCCAATACTTTGGCCACCTCATGAGAAGAGAAGACTCCCCAGAAAAGACCCTTATGTTGGGAAAGATTGAGGGCACAAGGAGAAGGGGACGACAGAGGACGAGATGGTTGGATAGTGTTCTCGAAGCTACCAGCATGAGTTTGATCAAACTGCGGGAGGCAGTGGAAGACAGGAGTGCCTGGCGTGCTCTAGTCCATGGGGTCACGAAGAGTCGAACACGACTAAACGACTAAACAACAACAACAACAATCCTGGCATACAGTTCTTTCTCACCATTTAAAATTTAGCACAGCATGGCAGCATATTGATCAAAAACCACAGTTCCATAAGACAACAGGTACTTCAGTGTTAAAGGAATATTAGAAATAAGGACAGAAGTCCTAGCACAATAAACCCCATGTCTGAAGGCAGCCCGAGTCACAGCCAGTCATACAATTCTGCTCTCACACTGGACATAATTGGGCCAATGGCACTCATTATGTCACAGGACATTAGCAAAATCCAAATGGAGAAGTGAATTCTTTCTAAATCAAAGGGACCCAAACAAATCGGATGTTTCTAGCTTTCTGAGGAGCATGTTTCATTCTTCTATACCAAGTTTGAGGAATCTTTGGCCCTCCATACATTGCTGAACTACAACTCCCATCAGCCCCAGCAAACATGGCCAATGGCCAGGGATAATGGGTGTTGTAGTTCAGCAACATCTGACCTGCCAAAGATTCCCCACACCTGTTCTAGAGCTAGATAATCTAAACAACCTGCCACAGGACAGATTTAAAATGCAATGCCTCTGGTCCTTTTCGTTTCTGTTGGTTAAAGCACTGAATAATCCATAAGTTTCATCTTATTCCTTTCTACTTTTAATGTCCTTTCTCTTGCATAGGTTTTCAGTTGTTTTGAAAAGCCACAGAAGAACATCCAGCCTCACACTGCCAAAACAGCTTCAGCTTTTGAGAGCAATGGGTCATATCTTCTGTTGCCACCAACCAGCATTGTTTCCTTGAGGCCAGTGATTTTACACCAGCTAATCATCTGGTCCAAAATCCCTCTAGAGTGGTTCAGAGAAATGGACTTCATAGTCTTGATAGCTCCATGTCTCCCTTAGTCAGGCGCTGAGAGATATGTGAAAGGCACACAGTTTCTTAGAACTTTGATGGAATAACACAGTTACTAGTAATTGGTATTCATAAAGGATGGGCTGCTGTATTCCCAGGTCAACAGCTGAGAAACTGATTTGAGTCAGGTACATAGCAACTGTGTATTTTCTGCTTATTATTTCTAACAATCCAAGTTTATTCCACCCTCAATCTGTTATGTAAAATAACTTCAGAAGCAGTCTTTCAGTGAGCAAAGGAGGTGGGGGAAAGGCTTTTATCAAGAGTAAAAATGCTAAGTTTAAATTCTAGTTTTCGTCCTAGGAACTTACACTCTTAACTATCAGGTGGGGTCCTGCACCCTTCTGTGGTTCATAGTGAAGACAGTCCAATTTTTTGGGTGTGGAAATGAGGTGCCCATATTCTTGATATCAGTGGTGTTAATGCCACACAAAATGGCTGCTATGGGCAGGAAAAAAAGGTGCTGATACTCTATACCAGTGAGTATATTCACAAAAAAGCACTGGCAACGTCATATTGTAATTTGGAAACTGAAGGACTTACATGCGGGTGACACATATACAACTTCCATATATTAATGTATGAACAAAGTAGACACATTGGTTCTGACTGAACTCTAGTAATGTGCAACTAATCAGGCACAGCAACCAACGGGTCCTGGACAGAGATGTGCGTCCCCATCTACACCGAAAGACATATCCAACCAGTTCAGAGAGACCCAGATGAGCATGCAATGCACCGATCCAGAAGTGCATCTGTGCAGATTCCTGCTTCTGAGTACGGCATTCCCTCGCTACTATATCTTTAATATTTATGTTTAAAAATGGGGTAGGTGAGGTTCCCTTGCTGAAATTGCCCTTCTCTGCACAACAATTAAAGGCAGACCAGCCTTGTCCCATTCTGCAGCCCTAGAAGTACCTGAATTATTTGTTCTGTACGTAGGAAAAAGCCTAATACCAAATCAGCCAGTTGGTCCACCTAGGTCAGTATTGCCTACACTAACTGGCAGCAGCTATCCAGGAATTCAGGACAGAGGTGCCGGGAACAAAACCTTTGACCTTTTGCATGCAAACCAGGGACCCTGATAGTGCTTTTTCTGGGGGGGGACAGGGGTACACAAACCCCTAAACATTTTGTGAATCAAAGTTTGGCCTCATTGAGGGGCAGTATTTCAATATCAGTAGGAAAATGAGAGTACCTCTAAACATTTTTTTAAAGGAAAAAAGCACTGCTGCTACTGAAATACGGTCTTTCCCCCACATGATTGATAAGTTGCAGCCTAATCATATTTGTTGCCTCCAGGGAGCTGTCCATGCATTACTGTGCCAGGTTCAAGGTTCTTGCATTAATTTATGAGGCCCTTAACAACACGGGTCCAGATAATTTTAAGAATCACCTGATCCCTTATATCCTAGCCTGAGTTATCTGGAGGAGCCTTTGTTGGTGGCTCCCCATGACTCAGACACATGGCTCCTAACTGCATTCCATGCATTTGTTCCAAACCTGTGGAACACCCTCCCAACTGAGATTAGGCAGTCACCCTACTTGCTGAACTTCAGGTGCATGGCTAAGGCTTTCTCGTTCCAGCAGGCATTTTAAGGCTGTGTTCAGGTTGATGGTAATTTTGTTGTTTTATTGTCTCATTTTCTGTAGATTTTTTTTGCGCACGATACTCAGAAATGCAAAGCAGTATATGAATGTTTTTTTAAAAAATAAACTATTTTCTGTTCCTGTTTGCAGGGTGACTTGGTTTGTGCTGTATAAGACATACCTCCTGCACTTTTAATGCATTATATAGATCAGGCACGCCCAACAGGTAGACTGTGATCTACCAGTAGATCAGTGGACGTTTGTGGTAGATCACTGGTAGATTAGTGACGCCCTGCAAAGAAACTCAACAACTTTGGCTCCCCTAAAGAAAAGCTCAAGAACTTTGACCTGAACTCCCCAAAATGGGGTAGATCACTGCCAGTTTTTAACTCTGTGAGTAGATCGCAGTCTCTTGGGAGTTGGCCACCCCTGATATAGATTATGCAATTCTGGACATAAGCAGTTGGGAAAGATGTACTTGTCAAAAATTCCCCTTTTATACAATTATTAAAGCTGCAGGAGCCCTGGCCACTACTGATACTGCTCTCTCAGACATACACACTGATAGTACCTTGCTCCTTTCCCTGGTGTCTGTTACTTCAGGAGATGGAAATGTACTAGGTTTATGAGCTGCAGAATAAATTCATTGCCACATCCGTTATATTTCTCGATGCCGCTTGGCGCGCACACAGCCCTTAAGCTTTCTTCTCCCCAGTGAAGGTGTCTGTGTCCATTTCATTAATAATACTCTGCACTCACAGTGCACTGCATATTTATTGTCAGTGAGTGCAAGCTTGAGCTAATTAGCAAAGTTAATTAGTGCTGTACTGCAAAGCCCAGAATATGCAGGAAAGGACGTGTATCTGAGAGAGAGAATGAGAGACAGGGAGAGTGAAAGATAAAAGGCCTATAAAAATAGGAGCTGGCTTGTTCTCCCTTATTTATGTGTGACATGGAATTGAATATCAGCAGCTAGAGACAGGCTCCCCACCTGGGGATCTGACGCAGACCTTCAGGGGAAACATCTATTACACAGACAAATCCTTTCACTCTCTTCTCTCTCCATCAAAGGAGTGAGCATTCCTGCTGGGAGCCCAGAAGAATACTTCATTCTACTCCACATTAACCAGGCTATACCCAAACAGAATGCTCTTTTCCAGGACTAATTGCTAAAAATGTGTGTTGGGGCTCAAGGTAGACTGGAAGACATACCCTTTGGAATCCAGCCTCCTGTTCACAATCTATACCTTTGTGTGTACACATGAATGTTCACATACATGCATGGGCAAATTACTATGATATTTCATCAGTGAGGTAAAGTTGTTTTGCATTGCTCAGAAGAAGCATGATGTTACTTATTATTACTGCATGTACTGCTGGTCCAGTGGACTCTAGCACTGATCTAAGTTAAGGATCAAGTCCCTGGCAAATTCTCTTTCCTTAACAACACCCTTCCCTTTCCTCTTTTCCACTTTCCACCAATACTATGTATATAACCATGAGAAATTCACATGGCAGAGAAAGGTGTTGCAAATGAATGGAGGTATTAATCAAAAGAACAACAACAACAACAAA